TATTAAAAAATAAATCTGTACGCTAATTAATAACATACTTAAAAGTCGTATCATTGACTTCACCTTCAAATTGGTAGTTCAAATCCATTTTTGAAAACTGCTATTTAAATACATCTGTTGCTTGAAGACATAAAATAAAAGCTTTGAAAAAAGTGATCTTGTATAATTAGAGAAACTTGACCCTTGAGTCTTGTTCGGCACATCAGTCCATATTATGCAACGGTGCAGTCGGTCCGTTTAAAGTGGTGTGTGTATCAGATTCTACTCTTCGGCTTAGTATGGCAACATTTTTTTTTCTCTTATCGTTGAAGTCATCTGAAGTTCATCTTTGATCTATGAAGGTACCTGGGTCCTGTAAGATTTTCACCCATTTATTTTGCGAGTCGTCCCGAGATTTAATCTGATTGACAATATCACGGAAATGTCTTTGTTTGGTATCTGCCATGGACTGCGACGACAGCGATGTCGCATGTCTTCAAGTATAATCTCCTCATGGCTGTTTTTTTGTTCCCGTAGAGTTTCTCAAATTAAAACGAAAGATGAGCCTTGTTATGTTTAAAGTACAAATTCTATAGCATTCTGTGGAGGTGTGGGTGATTATTTTTTTACGAGCATTAAACGATTAAGTGTAATTACAGTGCCGTTTGTCTTGTATAATTAGTTCCTTGTCTGGTAGGTATTAATACATGTATAGAATCATGATGGTATTGCCAAAAAAATCTGAGATTGGTAAGATGAAGCTTCGTTTAGAGAAATATTATGATGAATGGTTCAGGAAGACCACCCTTTACCTATCTCTCCACGCCCTTTTTAGCTTCTCCATAGTGATAAATCCAGAGGGTTGGGTTCTCCAGGCGGCTATGCCTGTGGTTTACTAATTCTTACAAATCTGTAGGTATTAATACTATTATCAGATTTTTTTCCTCTTTATGAAGTTAGTCAGATGATAGTCTTAATTAATTTGTAATTAAAGAAGTAAAGTAATACAAGATAACATCAAAAAATTATCACTTCTTTTGAAGAATTCTATTTGTAATTTTTGGATAATAGATTTTTAAATACTTAAGTCTGCTGATTCATGTGAGATAACGGGAAGTCCACTTAAGTAACTGTCCATGTAGGTGGAAAGCAGTGGAGGTACCAACTCATGACTAATGACTCGACTAATAAACCAGCACAGGTAATCAGGGATGAAATATACCTGGACAGGTAACTTAATCAGTTACTGTAGTTACTGTTTAGGATTAAAAAAGGAGTAGCCTGTTATAGGTGTATGGTATAATAGAATTATTGTACCCTCAGATTGTATGGGATGGTATATTTGTGTTAATATGGAATTAGAAGTTTTTGATTTACTACACCAGTTAAAACTCCCATAGATTATGATTACAATTATAACCCACACAGATAAATTACCATCCCTCCAGTCCTAACCCACACAGATAAATTACCACCCCTCCAGTCCTAACCCACACAGATAAATTACCATCCCTCCAGTCCTAACCCACACAGATAAATTACCACCCCTCCAGTCCTAACCCACACAGATAAATTACCATCCCTCCAGTCCTAACCCACACAGATAAATTACCATCCTTACAGTCCTAACCCACACAGATAAATTACCATCCCTCCAGTCCTAACACACACAGATAAATTACCATCCCTCCAGTCCTAACCCACACAGATAAATTACCATCCCTCCAGTCCTAACCCACACAGATAAATTACCATCCCTCCAGTCCTAACCCACACAGATAAATTACCATCCCTCCAGTCCTAACCCACACAGATAAATTACCATCCTTACAGTCCTAACCCACACAGATAAATTACCATCCCTCCAGTCCTAACCCACACAGATAAATTACCATCCCTCCAGTCCTAACCCACACAGATAAATTACCATCCTTACAGTCCTAACAAACACAGATAAATTACCATCCCTCCAGTCCTAACCCACACAGATAAATTACCATCCCTCCAGTCCTAACCCACACAGATAAATTACCATCCTTACAGTCCTAACACACACAGATAAATTACCATCCTTACAGTCCTAACCCACACAGATAAATTACCATCCTTACAGTCCTAACCCACACAGATAAATTACCATCCCTCCAGTCCTAACCCACACAGATAAATTACCATCCCTCCAGTCCTAACCCACACAGATAAATTACCATCCCTCCAGTCCTAACCCACACAGATAAATTACCATCCTTACAGTCCTAACAAAAACAGATAAATTACCATCCCTCCAGTCCTAACCCACACAGATAAATTACCATCCCTCCAGTCCTAACCCACACAGATAAATTACCATCCTTACAGTCCTAACACACACAGATAAATTACCATCCTTACAGTCCTAACCCACACAGATAAATTACCATCCCTCCAGTCCTAACCCACACAGATAAATTACCATCCCTCCAGTCCTAACCCACACAGATAAATTACCATCCCTACAGTCCTAACCCACAAAGATAAATTACCATCCTTACAGTCCTAACCCACACAGATAAATTACCATCCCTCCAGTCCTAACCCACACAGATAAATTACCATCCTTACAGTCCTAACCCACACAGATAAATTACCATACAATCAGTCCTAACCTACACAGATAAATTACCATCCTTACAGTCCTAACCCACACAGATAAATTACCATCCCTCCAGTCCTAACCCACACAGATAAATTACCATCCCTCCAGTCCTAACCCACACATATAAATTACCATCCTTACAGTCCTAACCAAAACAGATAAATTACCATACAATCAGTCCTAACCCACACAGATAAATTACCATCCCTCCAGGCCTAACCCACAAAGATAAATTACCATCCTTACAGTTCTAACCCACACAGATAAATTACCATACAATCAGTCCTAACCCACACAGATAAATTACCATCCTTACAGTCCTAACCAAAACAGATAAATTATCATCCTTACAGTCCTAACCCACACAGATAAATTACCATCCCTCCAGTCCTAACCCACACAGATAAATTACCATACAATCAGTCCTAACCCACACAGATGAATTACCATCCTTACAGTCCTAACCAAAACAGATAAATTATCATCCTTACAGTCCTAACCCACACAGATAAATTACCATCCCTCCAGTCCTAACCCACACATATAAATTACCATCCTTACAGTCCTAACCAAAACAGATAAATTACCATACAATCAGTCCTAACCCACACAGATAAATTACCATCCCTCCAGTCCTAACCCACACAGATAAATTACCATCCTTAAAGTCCTAACCAAAACAGATAAATTATCATCCTTACAGTTCTAACCCACACAGATAAATTACCATCCCTCCAGTCCTAACCCACACATATAAATTACCATCCTTACAGTCCTAACCAAAACAGATAAATTACCATACAATCAGTCCTAACCCACACAGATGAATTACCATCCTTACAGTCCTAACCAAAACAGATGAATTACCATCCTTACAGTTCTAACCCACACAGATAAAGTACCATCCCTCCAGTCCTAACCCACACATATAAATTACCATCCTTACAGTCCTAACCCACACAGATAAATTACCATCCTTACAGTCCTAACCAAAACAGATAAATTACCATACAATCAGTCCTAACCCACACAGATAAATTACCATCCTTACAGTCCTAACCCACACAGATGAATTACCATACAATCAGTCCTAACCCACACAGATAAATTACCATCCTTAAAGTCCTAACCAAAACAGATAAATTACCATACAATCAGTCCTAACCCACACAGATAAATCTTTATCCTTAAGGTCTTAACTCACACCAATCAAGCATCACCCATACAGTTCTGGCCTACACATTGATAAATGTTCATAGTTACAGTTCTGCCCACACAGATAAATTACTGTTGTTTTAGTCCTGACTAACACAGCACTAATAACTCACCATGGTTACAGTCATTAAACAGATAAATTACCATGGTTACAATCATTACACATGTATAAGGCTTACAGTCCTCCTTGATTCACAGGTAATTACCTTGGTTTCAGCCTTGACCTTCCCAGATAATCACCTTGGTTTCAGCCTTGACCTTCACAGATAATCACCGTGGTTTCAGCCTTGACCTTTACAGATTAATCACCTTGGTTACAGTAATGACCTACACAAAAAATTGTTACAGACTTATTGTTCTGAATTAAGCACTATTAGCTTTTTTACCTTGGCCTTTTATTTTTTCACTTAATCCTACACAGACCAACAGGAAGGCCCATATATTACATGTTCAGTTATCATTTGGATTTGTTTTAGAAAATATAGCTATCTTTGATCATGGTGAAGTACTTTGTGTAACTATATTTTGTTGAATCATTGTGTATAAGTTTAAAGTTAACCCTAGACCACTAAATAATGTATGATAATAATATGTCTGTAACAAGCAGAGAAGCAGCACTGTTACTTGTGATCTTTAGTATGAAGTATTCAAGATAGCAATTGAATACCTAAGCCGTTTGTAACCAAAACCTTTGGTGAGATTCGGTAATGAAAAATCAGCATACAACCGTGATTAGTGTATTATATTGGCCATACAGTTGCTTCTTAAAATTAATATATAGGGATAATGATATCGCTATGATCTCCTCTCTAAAGGCACTATTACTTGTGATCTGAAGGTTGACATACAGGCCTTTTAACTTAATACACATGTAGATGTAACCAAAGCGTTTGGCGATATGGTAATGCCCATTTAGCACGTATCTGGTCTTTGTGTGTGCGGGGTGGTTTTGGCCTATGACTTATGGCCGGTGTGATATGTTATCTGGGGTATATTGTCTTGTGAAGGTAACTGAGACAGTCCCTCTTGGCAGTATATACCATCCGGAACCTGTGAAAATGTCAGGCGCCTTTTCAGCAGAAATTGCCTGTAGAAAACAAGCTTTGTTCAGAGGTGTAGAAGCAGTGAGTCGTGAACGTAATCGTATTGAATTTTTTTTTTTTTTTTACAGACGTACCAGAGGATCAAATGTAATCGGCAGTCCCGGCTTACTAGTAAGTTGTCAGTGTGTTCATTTACATCAGAATCGTGTGCTCAAAAGACTGTCTGAATTTTGTCACTATGGGGGTTGATGCACTCCGGGAATTTTGATTGAGGCTTACGATAAAAACAAGCAGATGCCTCTGGGTGTTACAGATTTTTTACTGGTGTCAAGGAAACATAGACAAATTACTACGGTTACAATAGAACCAACAAGATGTGCGGTCTAGATTACGTCAAATAAATAATTAACGATGAAATATCATATGTACCTAGGCCTTTTTTCTCTCTTTTGGGTCTTACCTTTATTTCAGGTCATTTAATTTAAAATAAAAAACAGATTTAAATTTTGTTTCGATTGTAATTGATTATGATCATGTTTTTGCAGGCAATGCACCTCTCATTTAAACCAGAGAAAAACATCATGCTGTGATGTCGCAGGCTGACTTAATTATAGCTGTGCCACCTCGTAGTTATGTCAAAATGTCTTACAAATTCAACAGAAATGCATTCTTATCTAAAGCAAATGACAGAAATCATAAATAACCGAAAACATTAGTTATTATCACGAGAGACCACTCATTAGCTGCTGTACTACAGCTAAACTCTCGTCTGATACAACGGTTCTCTGTTGTACTGTAAGCTGCACTGACCGTGGTCAGTGGAGATGATTCCCGTTGATTAAAACATTCCTCAGCTCCAGATCTGTATCTGTCTTACCAGTACAGACATTTTACAAGAAATAGGCCCCCTCTCTTCTTTATATATAAATTATATTCCAGGAATATGGAGGAGTGGGTGGTTGTCTTGCATATACTTAAGTTATTATTCTTGAAGATTGAATTATAAAATTTTTTAATTTATCTGGATTTTTTTTTTATTTTTGTAGACCTCAACTTTTGTAAATCTTCTAGGAATGAGAGGTGCAATTCAGGTATTATTCTTCAAAGTGAATGTAGATTGAACAGAGAAGTTTTTCCTTGTAGGAAAGTGTTTAAGAAGAATTTACGGTTTTGTTATGCAGGCAAGGGCTTAAATGTCTCTAATTCTATTATGGTGACAGGTCGGAGCAGGACAAGGAAGAAGAAGACGGAAGAAACTATCTGTCCCATTTGTAACGAGAGACTGAGTGGCACACCTGAGGAACTCAATGGCCATGTGGAGATCTGTCTTAAAAAGGTACGGCAACCTTGATGGGTTATACTCTCTTTGGGAAAGAAAAACAAAATCTCAGCAACTTTAGATAGTTGTTTAAATAGATATTGCCATATGAATGTAAGGTTCATATATTAGATAAAGATGTTTATTTTTCCAAATAAAGTAGACATGCTAGATCAAATGTGTGTGTGTTTTTGAACATGGATTTGTTTGTCTTTAGCGTAATGAAATTGAGGATGAACCTGTGGATGTGGAGGGGGATGGAGACACCTATGAAGAATATACGTGGGCAGGACAGACTAGAATCAGAGCTACTACTATGTTACAGGGTGGATTCTCAGGTGTGTACAGATCATACTGCTGTCTAGCATTTGCCTTCAGGTGTTTTAAATATTTTTTTTGCAAATTTTAAATCATGTATGTAAACTTGTACGGATGATTTAATATGGCTGGTCGGGTAAAAGTCAAAGAAAGGAATTTATAGTGAATTTTAAATCTGTTAAATAAATCAATAAAATTGATGTTAATTTTTTTTTATTTCATGATTGAGCTACAATGAATATTTTATCAGTTAAAACAATTGTCTATTCAGTATCTCCTGTTATAGATAATAAAATTTTCTAACTTTGCTAAATGTTCAGGTTAGCAGTAATATTAAGCAGCATATCTATCATTTAAAATTGACTTTTTTCGTGATTGTATATCATAAGTAAGAATGGTGTTGTAGAAACACTGTACATTTTATTTCTGAGTATTGTGTTTGTATTAATACAGAGGTTTGTGAGTGTGCTGTAGTCTTTAATATATTGGGCACTGTCTTGTTTAAACTCCCTGGAACAGACAGTTACGATAGGAACTCCAGTAAATGGTCATGTGCTTATCAACTGTCATAGACAAACAAGCAATGTTTAGTCAAGTCTGTATCTGCCAACACAAATCAGCATCAGCTCCGAAGACATTTTAATATCTCGTCAATTTGAATACGAGATTTTTTTATCATCCCAGAAAAAAGTATTCCATGTCTCAAATCTCTGTATTATATCATCATCATTTACAATTTCAATCACGGGAGATCAACACTGTGGCTGCATTCGCGTTACCAAATCAAACATCACTGCGACAGTGAGTCAACACGCCCGTCAGCCTACACACAAGCAAAGAGTCTGTCCTGTCAGATAATTGGGGCCTTTGATTTTGTGCTCTAATACCAATGTCAAACCAAAATAACAAACTCTACTGAAGAACGCTAATATTGACCCTTGGTGTTTGACCTTGAACTTTTTCGAGAATTAGAGTTCTACATGAATATTTTGTTACAGCAATACATCCAATAAGAAAACTTAACTTTACTTGTCTGAACTGGATGTGTTGCCATCTTTTCCTAATTTGTTTTCAAGGCAGAATGCATCAGTAGAATTTTGAATATGACATGTTGTCAAGTCTCGATGGTCATGGATTCCTTTCCTGCAGTGCTCTCATAATTGTTTTAAAATCAAGATTTTTTTTATGGATCCTGTGACCTCTTCATGACCTCTCGACTATAACTAGAGGTATACTGGACTGTTGTAACCATGAATGTTATTCAGTAAAATCACATCTGCCACAACTTATTGTGATAACAAGGATAAGAGTAATATATACAGACACCAATACCAATTACAGGTAGAATGAGTATGGAAGCTTATAATGTACCAATAGAGATGAATTTATACCCTGTATGAAACCCTATTCAGATAATGTTATATCAATGATGGCTACAATGGTTTGCCCTTATTTTACAGGTACAGGATTCCAGGTGATGAATCTAAAAAAATCCATGGAGGAGGATATTGATCTGAACGTAGATGGAGATGACTCGGAACAGTATGGAACAGCACAGTATCCTTGTCTTAGACACATCTCTGTAACACTCCCTACCTCCAGGGTCTTTAACAGTTTAATAATACTTCTTAAGTCTATATACTTTTGCAAACATCTTTAAGAGCATGTCAATATCAAATACTAATGTGATATTTGTCAGCTGCATTATTTCGTGAAATTCTTGTGTTAGATGATACTGCTGTTGTGTTTAGGTATGTATGATTGGCCTTTGTTCAAGATCACAGAGGTCAGTTGTTCTCCACTAAGTGTACGGGAAGTGTCCTGGTTTCAAGAGACTTTCATCCAAGTCTGTTTAAGTTATGTTTCAAGAGACAACCTTACCAAAGGCTAACAATTCTAAACATGTCTTCTTTGCTGCGATCACAACAGATATCTGTATATGATAGTTATACGGTAGTATTTACAATTGTTTCTGAATCGATAAGTGTGAGCAATGCTGTTAACTCTGTATTTTTCAGTAACTGAAGTGTAGAACATGGCCCAGTTCAGGTGTATGAATACATATATATGAAGTCTCCAATACCTAATTTCATATAAATATGGAATGATTTATTCCATCCCGACTGATACAATTATGGAAATATGGTAATCAGTAAAACGTGCATTTTTTATATGTTAATAAGATTATTGAAGTGCCTGAACTCACTTCTGTTGTTGTCACTTAGAAAATGGGTGGGGTTAAGCTTTCTGTCAACATCTGTTTTGAATGTCTGTTTCCTATGGATAAACTTGACATTGAAGTCATTGTGAATGTACATACAATATTACTTATGTTTTACACTTTGAATGATGCTATTGTTAAATTATCAGAAACATAAGTGTTAATCTTCCATTTTGTTTACCATATTTACTGGATTATAAGCTGCAACTTTTTTCATTGCCGGTCTGGAGTGCGGTTTATTTTTAAAAATTGGCAGAATGAAAAAAAAAATTATGCAATTTACCAGTACACCAGTAGGAGACGGTATCAAGTTTTTCACAAGAATCTGTCCATCACATCTTTGTGACTGAAACTGATAGTCTAGAACCGTCATTTGCAATCGTAAACCGATATTATAAGATTGAAATAAAAACAACATTCTTGTGGATTTAATCAATCATACCTTTCATTATAAATCGCAATGATAGTTTATGAGGTGATATACCCAATGGAGCAGTCGATAAACTATCCATAAATAGGTTTACACAAGTTTTCTTGTGCTCAGTTGGATCAATGATCTCTTAAAACAAACAAAAAAACAACAAAAAAACAAAAGATTAATCCTTAGATTGTCTTATTTAATATTTTCTAGACATGTTGGGTGAGATGCACTTGTTTATATCCAGGATGATACTTAGATAGTAAGTCTGATGGGAATTATGTCCCTTAACTTGACCCAGATTTAATGAAGGAGACATCTTACCATGCCGTTCAGATGAGCCATCAGAAGATCTGGAGAGGAAGGCTCTGAGGGGTGCTGTTCTACGGTAAGTTGAAAAGCTCTTGTTGATGCAGAATTAGGTAAGCTAAGAACTTTAGAAGTGATGCACTTAAGGTCAGAGAAAGACTCTGAGAGATGATACACTTAAGGTCAGAGAAAGACTCTTAGAGATGATACACTTAAGGTCAGAGAAAGGCTCTGAGAGATGATACACTTAAGGTCAGAGAAAGACTCTGAGAGATGATACACTTAAGGTCAGAGAAAGACTCTGAGAGATGATACACTTAAGGTCAGAGAAAGGCTCATAGAGATGATACACTTAAGGTCAGAGAAAGGCTCTTAGAGATGATACACTTAAGGTCAGAGAAAGGCTCATAGAGATGATACACTTAAGGTCAGGGAAAGGCTCTTAGAGATGATACACTTAGGTCAGAGAAAGGCTCATAGAGATAATACACTTAAGGTCATAGAAAGGCTCATAGAGATGATACACTTAAGGTCAGAGAAAGGCTCTTAGAAATGATACACTTAAGGTCAGAGAAAGACTCATAGAGATGATACACTTAAGGTCAGAGAAAGGCTCATAGAGATGATACACTTAAGGTCAGAGACAGGCTCATAGAGATGATACACTTAAGGTCAGAGAAAGACTCTTAGAGATGATACACTTAAGGTCAGAGAAAGACTCTTAGAGATGATACACTTAAGGTCAGAGAAAGGCTCATAGAGATGATACACTTAAGGTCAGAGACAGGCTCATAGAGATGATACACTTAAGGTCAGAGAAAGGCTCATAGAGATGATACACTTAAGGTCAGAGAAAGGCTCTTAGAGATGATACACTTAAGGTCAGAGAAAGACTCTTAGAGATGATACACTTAAGGTCAGAGAAAGGCTCTTAGAGATGATACACTTAAGGTCAGAGAAAGGCTCTTAGAGATGATACACTTAAGGTCAGAGAAAGGCTCTTAGAGATGATACACTTAAGGTCAGAGAAAGGCTCATAGAGATGATACACTTAAGGTCAGAGAAAGACTCTTAGAGATGATACACTTAAGGTCAGAGAAAGGCTCATAGAGATGATACACTTAAGGTCAGAGAAAGGCTCTTAGAGATGATACACTTAAGGTCAGAGAAAGGCTCTTAGAGATGATACACTTAAGGTCAGAGAAAGGCTCATAGAGATGATACACTTAAGGTCAGAGAAAGACTCTGAGAGATGATACACTTAACGTCAGAGAAAGGCTCTTAGAGATGATACACTTAAGGTCAGAGAAAGGCTCATAGAGATGATACACTTAAGGTCAGAGAAAGGCTCTTAGAGATGATACACTTAAGGTCACAGATAGGCTCATCGAGATGATACACTTAAGGTCAGAGAAAGGCTCTGAGAGATGATACACTTAAGGTCAGAGAAAGACTCTGAGAGATGATACACTTAAGGTCAGAGAAAGACTCTGAGAGATGATACACTTAAGGTCAGAGAAAGGCTCATAGAGATGATACACTTAAGGTCAGAGAAAGGCTCTTAGAGATGATACACTTAAGGTCAGAGAAAGGCTCATAGAGATGATACACTTAAGGTCAGGGAGAAGATGATACACTTAGGTCAGAGAAAGGCTCATAGAGATAATACACTTAAGGTCATAGAAAGGCTCATAGAGATGATACACTTAAGGTCAGAGAAAGGCTCTTAGAAATGATACACTTAAGGTCAGAGAAAGACTCATAGAGATGATACACTTAAGGTCAGAGAAAGGCTCATAGAGATGATACACTTAAGGTCAGAGACAGGCTCATAGAGATGATACACTTAAGGTCAGAGAAAGACTCTTAGAGATGATACACTTAAGGTCAGAGAAAGACTCTTAGAGATGATACACTTAAGGTCAGAGAAAGGCTCATAGAGATGATACACTTAAGGTCAGAGACAGGCTCATAGAGATGATACACTTAAGGTCAGAGAAAGGCTCATAGAGATGATACACTTAAGGTCAGAGAAAGGCTCTTAGAGATGATACACTTAAGGTCAGAGAAAGACTCTTAGAGATGATACACTTAAGGTCAGAGAAAGGCTCTTAGAGATGAATGATACACTTAAGGTCAGAGAAAGGCTCTTAGAGATGATACACTTAAGGTCAGAGAAAGGCTCTTAGAGATGATACACTTAAGGTCAGAGAAAGGCTCATAGAGATGATACACTTAAGGTCAGAGAAAGGCTCTTAGAGATGATACACTTAAGGTCAGAGAAAGGCTCATAGAGATGATACACTTAAGGTCAGAGAAAGGCTCTTAGAGATGATACACTTAAGGTCAGAGAAAGGCTCTTAGAGATGATACACTTAAGGTCAGAGAAAGGCTCATAGAGATGATACACTTAAGGTCAGAGAAAGGCTCTTAGAGATGATACACTTAAAGTCAGAGAAAGGCTCTTAGAGATGATACACTTAAGGTCAGAGAAAGGCTCTTAGAGATGATACACTTAAGGTCAGAGAAAGGCTCATAGAGATGATACACTTAAGGTCAGAGAAAGACTCTTAGAAATGATACACTTAAGGTCACAGGAATGCTCTTAGGGGTGGTACACTTAAGGTCAGAGAAAGGCTCATAGAGATGATACACTTAAGGTCACAGATAGGCTCATAGATGTGGTATGCTCAAGGTCAGAGAAAGCCTTTTAGAGGATGATCATTAAGGTGACTGAAAAGTGAACTTGGTAATTACAAGCCCAGGTTCTAGAGTCCTTGTACATATATAGATGTGAACCCAGTTGGTTATCATTGACTTTGAAGTATGGACTGTTCCAGGTGTTGTACAAATATAGGTCACAGATAGCTCCAAGGCTTGTGTATATTAAAGTTAATGCTGCTGTGATTAATAATACACTGTGGTTGTTTAGAGGTATTTTCTAGATTGAAACTTTTATAGTATTGTACCAAGATGGCCGTATGTACTTCTCTTGATACTGTTGCATCATCGTGTGTAACACAAGGAAACTTTAAAGCAGGCAGTGCAGTGCCCCCTGACTATACATGTCTTTGTATAGGAGATCAAAGTAACCAAACTTTGACATTTGGTAGAATCCCAGAAAACAGCATCACAAGTTAAGTGTCGTTAACGATGCAAGCACTTGCTTTGACATGTCACATGCTTGTGACACTTATAGAAGATGTTAATAAGCGTCGTGTAACATTCCTGATCAACTACACTGAATATTTACGGATAGAATGACATTTTAGGTTTTTCTTACTGATGTCAGTCGGTCTGTAGTTATTTACAGATTGGGACATCAAACAAATCAAAGGATCTTGGATTACGTCCATACAGATAAATATAGCAAGACAATTATAGATCTCATTTCATAAAGTATGTTGTTTTCTCTTACAGAAATATTTCACCGGGTGATCCATCTACTTCACAGTGCAATGGTGAGTAGTATACTACAACAACCATCTCTTCTCTCTCTTATTGTCTTTATGGCAATTTTAAGGGAAATTTCATGACAAGGGAAGTAACTCATAAATGGCTTTGTCAAACTTTGATGCTATTTTTAAGTATTTCTATATTTATCAAAGAAAGTTTTTAAATGTTTTGAGTATTTTAAGTTTTACATAAACGTAATGTCATTTATTCCCAACACAATCTTTTTTCCATAAAAAGTTAAATTTTTCTTCATAATTAATTTTTACTGTGTTTATGCCATAAGGTAAAATTTTGTATTTTTGTTGACAGACTTTTAAATGTCACATAGAACAATTCAAGGATTATGCAACATGAAGTTCTCTTGTAATTTAGAAATGGTTTCCTTAGCATCCAATTTACAAAAGTGTCTGTCTACTTTGTAGTATCAAGTGCTCAAGAAGCGACTGAGATGGAGGGCAGTAGTAGCTCAAGTCCCGGTAGTTCACCTACTTACCCAGACAGGTAAACTTAAATAATGAAATCATTTTTGATAAATGTTTCCTGTCTGTCTCTGTCCGTCTGTCTGTCTGTCTGTCTGTCTCTGTCACATTCATTGTTGTTACTCTGGTGACTATATTTCTGATTTCTAAGTTTGATGGAAGATCAATAATATCTTCACTTTAGGCATATGTGAGACTAGTTGGAGTATTAGCATTAAGTCAGAGGTTATGTATAGTCTTTATCAACATTTAAGCAGCCCTGCATCCACATTATTTTGTTGAATTTGCATTTTTGCCGTTTACTTGCCTGGAATGTATGAGGAACTAGCAGAACCTTTCTACGTTTCTCTTGATGTACAAACTTCTGTACCAATAAGTTTTCAATTAAAAAAGATTTGTGTATAAATATTTTAATTTACAGAGTAACTTCACACCAAACTTTCATCTTTTAAATTTAACTGTAACTTAATTGATATATGAAATGTGTTTGAAATTGTCAATTTTGAATATTTGAAATAACTCATGAAATATCTAAAATTTATGATAGAATGTTGTTATATCCGAATTTTTGTGTATTATATTATATTAAGATTGAATGGAACTTCTGAGTGATGTTTTAGAGAATGGTTTTGTAATATACTAGATGATTGTGATATTGTCCTCTGTGTAACAAATGGACCACTTACATTGGCTATTTATCACACAGCAGACATGGTTGAAGGGAGGTAAGCATGTTTGTAATTTTGTTTCAGCATGGACATAAATGGTTCTGCTGCTGAGGTCATTGAAGCTCTGAAAGCGAGGTTAAAGTCGAAAGAAACATCAAAGAAAGAAATCCCTAAATGTCTCATATGTATGGTTAGTATACCTATAGATATATATGAAAAATGGTGCTGTGGATTATTTTGAAAATATTTTCTTGTGCAAACTGGTACTTATCAAGACATAAAGCGATAGCTTTTGTTTTAAAATTTGAAGTAAGAGTGAGGTATGCCAGTAAATAACAGTTTCAATTCAACCAGTTCTAATCACAGATACAACATGCCACATCCCACTCACAACTACTCTGTACACTATCTACACCATAACAGGGTGTATATAAAGGAAAATTGTTTGTGTATCACGTGTGTTTGTGTGTTTATATATAGGAGTTGGTTAAAACTTTGTTGTGTAGATGATTCTATGTAGGTTGTATATAAGTAACATTGTTTGTTACACGTGTTGTATATAAGTAACATTGTTTGTTACACCTGTTGTATATAAGTAACATTGTTTGTTACACGTGTTGTATATTAGTAACATTGTTTGTTACACCTGTTGTATATAAGTAACATTGTTTGTTACACCTGTTGTATATAAGTAACATTGTTTGTTACACCTGTTGTATATAAGTAACATTGTTTGTTACACCTGTTGTATATTAGTAACATTGTTTGTTACACCTGTTGTATATAAGTAACATTGTTTGTTACACCTGTTGTATATATGTAACATTGTTTGTTACACCTGTTGTATATAAGTAACATTGTTTGTAACACCTGTTGTATATAAGTAACATTGTTTGTTACACCTGTTGTATATAAGTAACATTGTTTGTAACACCTGTTGTATATAAGTAACATTGTTTGTTACACCTGTTGTATATAAGTAACATTGTTTGTAACACATGTACATTATATGTATTTTTGTTAGACCTATATATAAACATTGTTTGTTACCGTGTTATATAAGTAACATTGTTTGTAAGTGTATGGTTTGTTACACGTGTTGTATATGAGTAACATTGTTGTTACACCTGTTGTATATAAAACACTGTTTGTTACACCTGTTGTATATATGTAACATTGTGATATAAACTGTTTGTAACACCTGGTATATAAGTAACATTTGTTACCTGCCCATACTCATTGTTTGTACACTGTTGTATATAAGTAACAGATTGCCATTTGTATATAAGCCTCACTCACAGATACCATTTGTCCTGACCACTCACAGATACCATTTGTCCTGCCTCACTCACAGATACCATTTGTCCTGCCTCACTCACAGATACCATTTGTCCTGCCCACTCACAGATACCATTTGTCCTGCCTCACTCACAGATACCATTTGCCCTGCCTCACTCACAGATACCATTTGTCCTGCCTCACTCACAGATACCATCTGTCCTGACCACTCACAGATGCCATTTGTCCTGCCTCACTCACAGATACCATTTGTCCTGACCACTCACAGATACCATTTGTCCTGCCTCACTCACAGATACAATTTGTCCTGCCCCACTCATAGATACCATTTGTCCTGCCTCACTCACAGATACCATTTGTCCTGCCTCACTCACAGATACCATTTGTCCTGCCTCACTCACAGATACCATTTGTCCTGCCCCACTCATAGATACCATTTGTCCTGACCACTCACAGGTACCATCTGCCCTGCCCCACTCACAGTTACCATTTGTCCTGCCCAACTCACAGGTACCATCTGCCCTGCGTCACTCACAGATACCATTTGCCCTGCCCACTCACAGATATCATTTGTCCTGCCTCACTCACAGATACAATTTGTCCTGCCAAACTCACAGATACCATTTATCCTGCCTCACTCACAGATACCATTTGTCCTGCCCACTCACAGATACCATTTGTCCTGCCTCATTCACAGGTACCATTTGTCCTGCCCCACTCATAGATACCATTTGTCCTGACCTCTCACAGGTACCATCTTCCCTGCCCCACTCACAGTTACCATTTGTCCTGCCCCACTTCACAGATACCATTTGCCCTGCTCACTCACAAGTGCCATCTTCATTGCCCCACTCAGAGATACAATTTGCCTGTTCTGCTGTCAACCAGTTCTACTCACAGATACAACATTCCACATCCTACTCCTAAATACCCTGTACACCACCTACATCATAAGGGGATGATATATGTATTGGGTGTTTTAATCAAGGCCGATTGGCTTTTAGAATGTTAAATAAGGATAGTTTTGTATTAATGGGGTTTTTAAAGTATAGAAAAACATGAACTAATTTTGTTACACAATTTACTATAAATGAATGTCAAATGAAATATTTTTGCTTCATTGATATTGACCTTACTAAGACACTTTATCAGATTTTGTATGTCCTTCATGTCTAATGTTAATTTTTGTTTTTTCAGGGTGCCAAAAAGTTGTGTCCCCAGTGTAACATGATCACCGCCCCAGGAGATCTGCGTCGCATCTATCTTTAATTACCTGTGATTTTTAGTGACCTTGACCTAATGTTTGGTTGGGTCAATCCTTATAAATGGCCCTAAATCAATGAAGACTAATTCTGTGGTAACTAGTGTGGTGATGTAAGGTCACTGTCTGATCATGTCAGTCATAAAAGGCTAACCTGTGGTCACTAGTAGTGTAAGACAGGAGCTGACCTCTGGTCACTAACGGCTATAGCAGACTATTACCACTCTTAAGGCTTAAAATTGTTTTAATTTATAGACATTGTGAGAATTTGTACATATAAAATACATGAGTGTGGTTTTAAAATAAATCTGTGTTGGTACTTTTAGCTCACCTGTTACAAAGCTCATCAGAGCTGATGGTGTGGTGCAGCATCTGTTATTTGTTTATTTGTTGTGTATCAATCAACTTTTCTCTTAAAATCTTCCTCTTAAGAACTGAAAGACACAGGGTCACGAAGTTTGGCCAATAACTCAAGTACATGCAGAAGTACATGCAGAAGACATTGTTTTGTATAATCATGGTCAAGTAGTTGGCAGATGTACTGAAAATTTGAAATTTCACTGCTGAAAAAAGTGATCATTTAAGAAAACGAAAAATGTCAATTATAACATGAAAACATTGAGAGATCAATATGATATTTGAAACATTTCAGTAACAAAAATGGTCTTTTGCTACAACTACTAATAAAACCTATGATTGTATGTTTGCTTATACATGTATATGATAGTGGTACCAACCCAGCAGTATGAAGATCTGTCTAATCAACAGTGAAAATATAGGACTGCATGTACCTATCAACAAATTATGTTGTGACTTCCAGTATCGTCTGTGTTCAGGAATCATAGTGCTATTATCTCTCTTATCTGTGACCTTACCAGTATATAGGATGAACACACAAGTACTGGAATTTGAATCATAAGATGAGCAATCAAGTTTGAGTACCAAAGTAGAATGTTTCTTTCTGATGTTGTTTTTGTTTATTTATGCTTGAATGATTGTGACATGAAATTGAGGTGAAGAAATACAGTGCTGTACTGTAAACATATTTATTTTTGCGGATGGTCACTTTTTGGCAATGGTAAATTCAGGCATCCAAAAGTTATATAAAAAGCATATAGAAAGTGTGATTAGCATACTCATAATTAACATATGTACTTTTACCACAAAAAACGCTAAAATATTACTACCACTAAAATATATATGTTTACAGTATGTCATTTTCAAGAGAGAAAAATCTAACTATAGCTAGAATTACCAGGGAAAATGTGAATTGTTTAAATGTTTCTCTTTAAAGATTGATTGTACAATAAAATTTGTTAAGAAAGTGAGGTGTTGATCTAATGTGAAAATGTTGGATATTTAGTTTGATTTACCCAAGTGAATGATTCTACTGAGGTGAATATAGCTACCTAATTAAAAACTTTACGCAACAAAATGCCTATTCAAGCATATATGTCTACGCATAAGATATTCCTACCAAGGTGAATATAGTTACCTAGGTAAATATGCCTTCCCAGGTAAATAGTATACCTAGGTAAACATTCATTCCCAGGTAAATATGACTACACAGGTAAATAGTCATACCTAGGTAAACATTCATTCCCAGGTAAATATGACTACACAGGTAAATAGTATACCTAGGTAAACATTCATTCCCAGGTAAATATGACTTCACAGGTAAATATTCCTACCCAGGTAGTTATGCCTACTCTTGTAACCTTGTATTATATTTGCCTGTCATGGTAAACGCTGGTGAGAGTGACTTCCCTTGTAACTTTTTCTCCAGAAGAGTAAGTTATTGTTGTAACCCAGGTCCAGAATGTTATCATTTGCGGTGTTAACACCAGTAGAACTATGATGGAGAAATTGATGACATAATAGGTTGTGAATTTGTACTCAGAATAAAAAATCTCATTTTACTGCTCAGAACACTGTTTTTGTTATTATACATATTCTAAGGAATGACAACTTATGTTTGTTTACATCAGACTGTTGGATATCTGGTTACATCAGGCTGTTGTATATCTGGTTACATCAGGCTGTTGGATATCTGGTTACATCAGACTGTTGGGTATCTGGTTACAACAGACTGTTGGATATCTGTTTACATCAGACTGTTGGATATCTGTTTACATCAGACTGTTGGATATCTGTTTACATCACACTGTTGGAGATCTGTTTACATCAGACTGTTGGATATCTGTTTACATCAGACTGTTGGATATCTGTTTACATCAGACTTGGATATCTGTTTACATCAGACTGTTGGATATCTGTTTACATCAGACTGTTGGATATCTGTTTACATCAGACTGTTGGATATCTGGTTACATCAGACTGTTGGATATCTGGTTACATCAGGCTGTTGGGTATCTGGTTACAACAGACTGTTGGATATCTGGTTACATCAAACTGTTGTATATCTGTTTACATCAGACTGTTGGATATCTGGTTACATCAGGCTGTTGGGTATCTGGTTACAACAGACTGTTGGATATCTGGTTACATCAGGCTGTTGGGTATCTGGTTACAACAGACTGTTGGATATCTGTTTACATCAAACTGTTGGATATCTGTTTACATCAGACTTGGATATCTGTTTACATCAGACTGTTGGGTATCTGTTTACATCAGACTGTTGGATATCTGGTTACATCACACTGTTGTATATCTGTTAACATCAGACTGTTGGAGATCTGGTTACATCAGACTGTTGGATATCTGATTACATCACACTGTTACATCACACTGTTGGATATCTGTTTACATCACACTGTTGGGTATCTGTTTACATCAGACTGTTGGATATCTGTTTACATCAGACTGTTGGATATCTGGTTACATCAGACTGTTGGATATCTGTTTACATCAGACTGTTGGATATCTGTTTACATCAGACTGTTGGATATCTGGTTACATCAGACTGTTGGATATCTGGTTACATCAGACTGTTGGATATCTGTTTACATCACACTGTTGGAGATCTGTTAACATCAGACTGTTGGATATCTGGTTACATCACACTGTTGGATATCTGATTACATCACACTGTTGGATACCTGGTTACATCAGACTGTTGGATATCTGTTAACATCAGACTGTTGGATACCTGGTTACATCAGACTGTTGGATACCTGGTTACATCAGACTGTTGGATACCTGGTTACATCAGACTGTTGGATATCTGTTTATATCAGACTGTTGGATACCTGGTTACATCAGACTGTTGGATATCTGATTACATCACACTGTTGGATATCTGTTTACATCAGACTGTTGGATATCTGGTTACATCACACTGTTGGATATCTGTTCATATCAGACTGTTGGATATCTGTTAACATCAGACTGTTGGAGATCTGGTTACATCAGACTGTTGGATATCTGTTCATATCAGACTGTTGGATATCTGATTACATCACACTGTTGGATATCTGTTTACATCAGACTGTTGGATACCTGGTTACATCAGACTGTTGGATATCTGTTAACATCAGACTGTTGGATATCTGTTAACATCAGACTGTTGGAGATCTGGTTACATCAGACTGTTGGATATCTGTTTACATCAGACTGTTGGATATCTGTTTACATCAGACTGTTGGATATCTGTTTACATCAGACTGTTGGATATCTGTTTACATCAGACTGTTGGATATCTGTTTACATCAGACTGTTGGATATCTGATTACATCACACTGTTGGATATCTGATTACATCAGACTGTTGGATATCTGATTACATCACACTGTTGGATATCTGGTTACATCAGACTGTTGGAGATCTGGTTACATCAGACTGTTGGATATCTGTTTACATCAGACTGTTGGATATCTGTTTACATCAGACTGTTGGATATCCAGACTATTGGATATCTTTTTACATCTGTAACAAAAAATGGTCCATACCTTGTTATTTATGTTGAGACCTATACTTTGCTTGGATAATAATATTTGTCGTAACCTAACCTATAAATGTAGTGAACAATGGTGCCGTTATTCTGTAAAACAATTTACTTCCATAAATCCTGAGTTTCGTCACATTATCTAATCGCCGCAATTATGAGAACAATCCGTGGACTGCGCTGATTTTAAAACTGATTCGTTGAAGTATGAAATGCATTCCGTAGAACATCCTTTGTTACAGCAACCGTTGTAGTATTATGTATAGGAAATGCAATTTTGGATCGGATTTTGAACGAAGTCATTGATGCATAAAATGTAGGTTTCATCCAGCATCAGCAACATTTACTCTGTACAAGAGTTACAGATCCTAGATTTATATTTCTGAAACTGTCTGTTGCTATACGTCATAGCTAGTCTCTCGTGTCTATTGTTACACGTGATATTTAGTCTCTCGTGTCTGTTGTTACACGTCATATTTAGTCTCTCGTGTCTGTTGTTACACGTGATATTTAGTTTCTCGTGTCTGTTGTTACACGTCATTTTTAGTCTCTCGTGTCTATTGTTACACGTGATATTTAGTCTCTCGTGTCTGTTGTTACAAGTGATATTTAGTCTCTCGTGTCTGTTGTTACACGTGATATTTAGTCTCTCGTGTCTGTTGTTACACGTGATATTTAGTCTCTCGTGTCTGTTGTTACACGTGATATTTAGTCTCTCGTGTCTGTTGTTACACGTCATATTTAGTCTCTCGTGTCTATTGTTACACGTCATATTTAGTCTCTCGTGTCTGTTGTTACACGTGATATTTAGTGTTACGTGTCTGTTGTTACACATGATATTTAGTCTCTCGTGTCTATTGTTACACGTCATTTTTAGTCTCTCGTGTCTGTTGTTACACGTGATATTTAGTCTCTCGTGTCTGTTGTTACACGTGATATTTAGTCTCTCGTGTCTGTTGTTACACGTGATATTTAACCTCTCGTGTCTGTTGTTACACGTGATATTTAGTCTCTCGTGTCTATTGTTACATGTCATATTTAGTCTCTCGTGTCCGTTGTTACAGGTCATATTTAGTCTCACGTGTCTGTTGTTACACGCGATATTTAGTCTTACGTGTCTGTTGTTACATGTGATATTTAGTCTTACGTGTCTGTTGTTACACGTGATATTTAGTCTCTCGTGTCTGTTGTTACACGTCATATTTAGTCTCTCGTGTCTATTGTTACACGTCATATTTAGTCTCTCGTGTCTGTTGTTACACGTGATATTTAGTGTTACGTGTCTGTTGTTACACATGATATTTAGTCTCTCGTGTCTATTGTTACACGTCATTTTTAGTCTCTCGTGTCTGTTGTTACACGTGATATTTAGTCTCTCGTGTCTGTTGTTACACGTGATATTTAGTCTCTCGTGTCTGTTGTTACACGTGATATTTAGCCTCTCGTGTCTGTTGTTACACGTGATATTTAGTCTCTCGTGTCTATTGTTACATGTCATATTTAGTCTCTCGTGTCCGTTGTTACAGGTCATATTTAGTCTCACGTGTCTGTTGTTACACGTGATATTTAGTCTCTCATGTCTATTGTTACACGTGATATTTAGTCTCTCGTGTCTGTTGTTACACGTGATATCTACTCTCTCGTGTCTATTGTTACACGTGATATTTAGTCTCTCGTGTCTATTCTTACACGTCATATTTTGTCTCTCGTGTCTATTGTTACACGTGATATTTAGTCTCTCGTGTCCGTTGTTACACGTCGTATTTAGTCTCTCGTGTCTGTTGTTACACGTCATATCTAGTCTCTCGTGTCTGTTGTTACACGTGATATTCAGTCTCACGTGTCTGTTGTTACACGTCATATTTAGTCTCTCGTGTCTGTTGTTACACGTCACGTTAAATCTCTCGTGCCTGTTGTTACACGTCACGTTAAATCTCTCGTTTCTGTTGTTACAAGTGATATTTAGTCTCTCGTGTCTGTTGTTACACGTGATATTTAGCCTCTCGTGTCTGTTGTTACTCGTCATATTTAGTCTCTCATGTCTGTTGTTACACGTCACATTAAATCTCTCGTGTCTGTTGTTACACGTCACGTTAAATCTCTCGTGTCTGTTGTTACACGTCATATTTAGCCTCTCGTGTCTGTTGTTACACGTCATATTTAGCCTCTCGTGTCTGTTGTTACACGTCATATTTAGCCTCTCGTGCCTGTTGTTACACGTGATATTTAGTCTCTCGTGTCTGTTGTTACACGTCATATTTAGTCTATCGTGTCTGTTGTTACACGTCATATTTAGTTTCTCGTGTCTGTTGTTACACGTGATATCTACTCTCTCGTGTCTATTGTTACACGTGATATTTAGTCTCTCGTGTCTATTCTTACACGTCATATTTTGTCTCTCGTGTCTATTGTTACACGTGATATTTAGTCTCTCGTGTCTGTTGTTACACGTCGTATTTAGTCTCTCGTGTCTGTTGTTACACGTCATATCTAGTCTCTCGTGTCTGTTGTTACACGTGATATTCAGTCTCACGTGTCTGTTGTTACACGTCATATTTAGTCTCACGTGTCTATTGTTACACGTCATATTTAGCCTCTCGTGTCTGTTGTTACACGTCATATTTAGCCTCTCGTGTCTGTTGTTACACGTCATATTTAGTCTCTCGTGTCTGCTGTTACACGTCATATTTAGTCTCTCATGTCTGTTGTTACACGTCATATTTAGTCTCTCGTGTCTTTTTACACGTCATATTTAGTCTCTCGTGTCTGTTGTTAAACGCCATATTAAGTCTCTCGTGTCTGTTGTTACACGTCATATTTAGTCTCTCGTGTCTGTTGTTACACGTCACGTTAAATCTCTCGTGCCTGTTGTTACACGTCACGTTAAATCTCTCGTTTCTGTTGTTACAAGTGATATTTAGTCTCTCGTGTCTGTTGTTACACGTGATATTTAGCCTCTCGTGTCTGTTGTTACTCGTCATATTTAGTCTCTCATGTCTGTTGTTACACGTCACATTAAATCTCTCGTGTCTGTTGTTACACGTCACGTTAAATCTCTCGTGTCTGTTGTTACACGTCATATTTAGCCTCTCGTGTCTGTTGTTACACGTCATATTTAGCCTCTCGTGTCTGTTGTTACACGTCATATTTAGCCTCTCGTGTCTGTTGTTACACGTGATATTTAGTCTCTCGTGTCTGTTGTTACACGTCATATTTAGTCTATCGTGTCTGTTGTTACACGTCATATTTAGCCTCTCGTGTCTGTTGTTACACGTGATATTTAGTCTCTCATGTCTGTTGTTACACGTGATATTTAGTCTCCCGTGTCTATTGTTACACGTGATATTTAGTCTCCCGTGTCTGTTGTTACACGTCATATTTAGTCTCTCGTGTCTGTTGTTACACGTCATATTTAGTCTCTCGTGTCTGTTGTTACACGTCATATTTAGTCTCTCGTGTCTGTTGTTACACGTGATATTTAGTCTCTCGTGTCTATTGTTACACGTGATATTTAGTCTCTCGTGTCTGTTGTTACACGTCATATTTAGTCTCACGTGTCTGTTGTTACACGTCATATTTAGTCTCTCGTGTCTGTTGTTACACGTCATATTTAGTCTCTCGTGTCTGTTGTTACACGTCATATTTAGTCTCTCGTGTCTGTTGTTACACGTCATATTTAGTTTCTCGTGTCTGTTGTTACAGGTCATATTTAGTCTCACGTGTCTGTTGTTACACGTGATGTTTAGTCTCTCGTGTCTGTTGTTACTCGTGATATCTAGTCTCTCGTGTCTATTGTTACACGTCATATTTAGTCTCTCGTGTCTATTGTTACACGTCATATTTAGTCTCTCGTGTCTGTTGTTACACGTCACGTTAAATCTCTCGTATCTGCTGTTACACGTCATATTTAGCCTCTCGTGTCTGTTGTTACACATCATCTTTAGTCTCACGTTTCTGTTGTTACACATCATATTTAGTCTCATGTGTCTGTTGTTACACATCATCTTTAGTCTCACGTTTTTGTTGTCACACATCATATTTAGTCTCACGTGTCTGTTGTTACACATATTTAGTCTCTCTTGTCTGTTGTTACACATCATATTTAGTTTCACGTGTCTGTTGTTACACGTGATATTTAGTCTCTCTTGTCTGTTGTTACACGTGATATTTAGTCTCCCGTGTCTGTGGTAACAAGTCACATCGAAACCATCCATGGAATCGTTTACTCAGTAATTTAATCAAATAGTCGAGGTGAACTTCAAGTAGTAAGTTGGTTTCAAATTTTACCAATCGCACGAACGATAGTGCTATCTACTTAAAAATGTCACAGTGGTACTCTGATCCTCAAATGTCGCCATTATTACCACTACAACAGCTTAGATATCTGCTCCGAGGCTTAGAGTTCAGTACCCGTGTTATCTGCAAATTGGCAAGGGGTTAAAAAAGAAGACAATACATTGAAATTGTGTATTCAATTTTATAGCATTAAAAATAACATACAAATCACGTTGACTGTTATAACGTATTCAGTCTATATTTAGATTTTTCTCCAGAGCAAAAGTTCACAAAAGTGGAACAACAACGAAGACCGACGTAACACATGTCGGTATCATCGTTTTGTCGTACAATTTTAACACGCAAATCCGTCAGTAGTATCGTCCAGTGAACTTCTGAGGAATCTCGATAATAGCACTTAGTCCTTGGTATTTGTCTCTATTTACAAACAATTGTAACGAATGTCTCTGATAGCATCGTCACATAACAAAGTTGCGTTACCAAAATATGTATACAACATCGGATCATTGTTACTTGGTTAATTCCGAAAAAAAAAACCCTCATATGCGACATTATCAGACCCAGTACGTCTTGCTGACAAGCACAGGTACGTCAAATGTCACTTTCCTGCCCGGAGTGGCCAGTCGGTTGACATCCGTAGCACTGACGCTGGCACAAGGTTCGACAATGTTATGGTTGTAGTCCTCCAATAAGTGAGGGGTTAGTTCATGGTGCTGTCCTTGTTTCTCTTTATTTTTGTGCCAAGGGAAGTTGTCCCACGCGAAGGAGTTCTCATGCTGTGGGGTATTCATGGACGTGGTGCCACGGGAACTCATAGAACTGTAGTCCAATTCTGCCGTCACGCTCCAGCTGCGGAACAGTTCCGTGATGCTGTGACGTAAGTTTCCGTCACCGTCCGAGGCATTTTGTGGCAATATTTGTTCCGTCACGTAACTCTCGCCGATATTGTTCTCGTACGCGCACGCGCTGTTGACGATGCCTTTGTTGATGGACGTTGGTTCTGTTGAACTTGGTCTTATGGAAGACAGCTCATTTACAAGTTTTGACAGGTCGCCAGGACTGAATGTTCCTTGACTATTCTGCTCCACCACTCCGGGCAAGTTGGAATGCGGTATGGACGTCGACATAGAAGGGTTTCCTGAAGTGTTGCTACTGCCAACATTCGGAAGCAACGACGTGTTGTCTGTATAGTGTGACTCTGCCGAACCCATACTACTGGCCATGCTTTGATTGTAAGGGTGAGAAAACGCTCTGGGCGGGCATTCCATCCACTCCACATTCCTATTACCAGCCATTTTCTGATGGTAGTATAAAATACTGCTCGGCAGGCTGGGAACTCCGCTTACCTCACTTTCCTCTTGACTTCCACGCGCTGACGTATACACTGACTGATTATTCACGCTTTGTCTCGAAATGTGATAACTAGTGTCGTGGTATGACGTCACAAATGATGTGTCGTCATCTTCCCCAGAGTCTAGACTAGAGGAAGAAATACTGGCACCTGTTGAGGACAGAGGTGTTGAAGGATATGACGTCATATGGGAATTTGTAAGATTTGTATTCGTTAGTGCCTCTGATAGTACAGCACTGGTTAAAACGACACTTTTGGGAGGACAACTGGTGCACTGTGCCGAGAATTCAGCGTCTGTATTAGGCGTGTTGTTGTGGACGTGGAAAGCGTTCGAGTCTTTGTCGAACGTCTGACAAGTACTGTAAGTATCCTCACTGTTGGTGGTATTGATGGACATGAGTCGAAGCCGTTTCTCCGGAGATCCAATTTCCGATTCCTCGTAAGACGGTGGCGGCGCCTGTGGTGTCACCCACGTCAAATGATAAGGTGAAAATGGCGCCTGTGCGCCGACGTCATAACTTTTGGACACGTCAGTGTAAACGTCCTCTGACATAAGCGATGAGTCCATCTCGTCAATAGGGGAGAGAGGGTTCAGATGTCCGCGCATAGTGTTGACGCTATCAGGACACAGCTTCCAATTGTCCTTGTCCCAGTAGAACGTGAACTTTGGCTGACTTCCGCTATGATAGTGAGGCGCCATCGGCATTACGAACGCCTGGTCGCCGCGCAAGCTAGACCGCAAGGGCGTTGTCGACCTGGTCGAACTGCGTACATAGTCTATTCCCGTTGTCGAACTACCGACCAGACTTCGAGAAAAGCGACTCAGTGACGTGTTGGTGGTATCGGGTGGACTTTCCTGTCGTTTTCTCCGAATGTAATGACAGTAAAGAAATACGATGACGCTGACAATGAATAAACCGACGAGGACGATGGGAACGATGATTCCCCAATTCGAGTCGTCGGAATCGTCAGGGGGTCCGGTCGTCTCCTGGGTAGGAATGGCGTCTGGTGATGCCATATCTAGCCTACTGTAACACAAAACACGGAGTACATGGTAAAAACGTCAAGTGTTAATTTCTACAGCATCACAACAAAAAAGGTTTTAAAGTTCCAAAGGAGATAGCCTGCCAATATGTCATTAATATTTTTTACGATCAATACTTAATATCAACTGAAATCGATTGTGTCAATTTTTAAAACTGCTTTGTTTTTTGAATGGGTTCATAAATACATACATGTGATAACGTTTCTATACCATTAAGAGGCAATAATATCGTCGCAACGTTATATCATGTGTGCATTTGCGGTTAAATAAACAAAAACATTAAAAAACAAAAGCAAAAATAAATGAATAAATAAATAAATAAATAAAGAGATAAAACAAAAACATAATCACAGAATAAGACAATTCTATCTCCATTGCGTCATATTGGCGAAACTTGTCTGTATAAGCTTCTTAAATATATTACTCCACCATGCAATACAACTGGTGCAGACCCTATTGGTCCCGAACCCTATTCTTATCGAACGAAACGTCACGGAACCTTAGTAATGTCCCTAACTGTAGCCTTGTTAATGCCGTCAAAACATCTTAGTAACGACTGCCGACACAACTCTGCAAATCGTAATCGATTTTTTTTATATGAGGTGAGATAAATGGAAGATATTTCCAGGTAAGTATATGTTTAAGTTTTGACTGGAGATCGTAGTAAGGATATTACCTGGAATGTTGATATATCTGTAAGAACCGTTGTCTCTTCATCTTGTAGGTTTGTTAAATGGTTCAAGAAGTAATCGTGCGATATTTGGTTGTATTCGAGAAATGTTTGACATAGACATGAAAACCATATAGTTATATACGATAGACCGCCGAGATATACTCCAAACCGCATAATTTGTATATATGTTGTCTTGCACTTAACACGTGCCACGTGTTTTGTGTAAACACAGCGCGTGCCGTGAGTACACCTGTAACATGACGGAACGGCGATCATGTTTTGATTGCTAACCATCATCATTGGTGTAAATAAACACACTTACCACATGATTATATTTTGATATACTCAAATGTCATATTGACGAAGACAAACTTGCCTGACCTGTTACGTAAGTTGTTCCTACCTTAAAAATTACTTGTGCTAATAGGTGTAATATTGTATAATTAACTATCACAGGTAATTAATTAAAATAGACATACCTAGTGCTGTCATGTCCCCCAGTAAATCCAGTTTCGTTAACAGCGAAGATAGGCCAGTGGTCACCATCAAAATATTCACAAAAACTAACCAAATGGCACAGTTTAGTATAGTTGTCCGAGGGAGGGTAGTTAGCTCGCTATGAACATTTATTGACGTTCTACCCGAGGTGGATTTTTCTGTGATAACTCACTCTGTACACTTTCCATCATTAATGATATATAAATTATCGCCATAGTTATGTTTGGTATAATTTGTACGTCAAGTTCATTTGAATTAATACAATGTTTATGGGTTATAGAATGCTCACCCCTAAAAGTGACATGGACTTTCCCACGTGAATACATGTCATTCAAGGACGAGGGCTCGCCTATTTATCAAATTCAGATGGAAACATGATGTGTTTTCAGTCAAAGTATTTCTAACAACCGTCTAACCACTACCGTCGTTAATTCCTCTTTCTGGTTACAAAACTAATTCAGTTCCAAATCGAATATATTGTGAAATCTCTGTAACTTGCGCATTTTTTAGAGGAAGAAGGGGGAGGGGGGGAGTTGTGCGTTTGGTGTGAAATAAACATGATGTAACAAAATGGGAAACTAAATTGGGCGTTGGAGTGTAAATATTTTCTTTTTTAAGGGAGAAAGATTTAATAAATTCTCTCAGGCCACACAATATTGCAAACTTTTCGTACATGTAAAATCATGGACATATATTCAATATAATATTGTCACGCGTAGCGTTCTGTTATCGGTCTATATAAATCATATTTTGTACTTTTTTATTTCCAGGGTTTCTTTCAGGACCGAAACCAAATTTAGGTTATAAATATACTTATATTGATTCCTGTAATATACAAAACTTTAAAACAATTCCAGGCCAACTCTCCTTAATTCTTACGATTATATAGCAAATACACAAGAATCAAATATGAAGCTACATATCACAAGGACAAAATGTTGATCAAAAAGAGTTCATGGTCAGCAAAGCGCAATTTATATAAAAATGTTTATCATCGTGACCCATTTCGTAACGATGTGTTCGATGCACAGTTGAAGAAAAAAATGTTTCTCGTCTTCCTAAACAGCATATTTCTTTTAGAGTCGTTGATCTTCAAGCAGAATAAAAATAACATGGCGACGAAAACGTTAGGAAGGGAGATGGAAGGATAAGGTTATTGTTGTGAGGTAAAAATGATAAAAGAAATATTGTTATAATGTTCTAAGAGGCTTCAAAAACAATAAACATATGTTCATCGAGCGCAGTTGGGACGACTTTAAATAAGATTATTTCTGTGTGTTATCTCCGACGTTTGCCGATTCGCCTAATGTTAAACCAGATCTGTCGTTAATTGTTTTGGATTTTTGATTGGAGCAACAAAACAAAATGTAGGCAGGCCATACTAGAATCACGACCGGTCTGTCTGTCTGTCGTCCGCAGATTTTATCCTTATAACTCCTCCAATATGTAAGTAAGAATATTTAAGAAATTTATTTAAACGCGCTTCAGGAAAACCCGGTGTTGGTGGTACCGCGGTGGAATCTCGTGTCGGGGGTAGGGGTAGGTGTCGGGAAATCTCTTTCTAGAGGATGGTGCAGAGTGTGATGGTAAATTCTGATATTTTTTTTTGGTTTTCCCTTGTAATATCACTACAACATGTACACCACGGAACAAAAGAATTTAAATGTTAATATCAACATTTCTATCAATACTGCCGGTTAATGATTACACTGAATTCAATGATGGACGGTGGGATGGACGTCACCAACATCTAATACTGCCGGTAATAATGATTACACTGAATTCAATGATGGACGGTGGGATGGAGAATGTCACATAAAAATGGACGGTGGGATGGAGAATGTCACCATCCCTTCTATCTAATACTGCCGGTAATAATGATTACACTGAATTCAATGATGGACGGTGGGATGGAGAATGTCACCACACCTCCCTTCTATCTAATACTGCCGGTAATAATGATTACACTGAATTCAATGATGGACGGTGGGATGGAGAATGTCACCAGCCCTTCTATCTAATACTGCCGGTAATCATGATTACACTGAATTCAATGATGGACGGTGGGATGGAGAATGTCACCACACCTCCCTTCTATCTAATACTGCCGGGGATAATGATTACACTGAATTCAATGATGGACGGTGGGATGGAGAATGTCACCATCCCTTCTATCTAATACTGCCGGGGATAATGATTACACTGAATTCAATGATGGACGGTGGGATGGAGAATGTCACCATCCCTTCTATCTAATACTGCCGGGGATAATGATTACACTGAATTCAATGATGGACGGTGGGATGGAGAATGTCACCATCCCTTCTATCTAATACTGCCGGGGATAATGATTACACTGAATTCAATGATGGACGGTGGGATGGAGAATGTCACCACACCATCCCTTCTATCTAATACTGCCGGGGATAATGATTACACTGAATTCAATGATGGACGGTGGGATGGAGAATGTCACCATCCCTTCTATCTAATACTGCCGGGGATAATGATTACACTGAATTCAATGATGGACGGTGGGATGGAGAATGTCACCACACCTCCCTTCTATCTAATACTGCCGGGGATAATGATTACACTGAATTCAATGATGGACGGTGGGATGGAGAATGTCACCACACCTCCCTTCTATCTAATACTGCCGTGGATAATGATTACACTGAATTCAATGATGGACGGTGGGATGGAGAAGTGTCACCACACCTCCCTTCTATCTAATACTGCCGGGGATAATGATTACACTGAATTCAATGATGGACGGTGGGATGGAGAATGTCACCATCCCTTCTATCTAATACTGCCGGGGATAATGATTACACTGAATTCAATGATGGACGGTGGGATGGAGAATGTCACCACACCTCCCTTCTATCTAATACTGCCGGGGATAATGATTACACTGAATTCAATGATGGACGGTGGGATGGAGAAGTGTCACCACACCTCCCTTCTATCTAATACTGCCGGGGATAATGATTACACTGAATTCAATGATGGACGGTGGGATGGAGAATGTCACCACCCTCCCTCTATCTAATACTGCCGGGGATAATGATTACACTGAATTCAATGATGGACGGTGGGATGGAGAATGTCACCACACCTCCCTTCTATCTAATACTGCCGGTAATAATGATTACACTGAATTCAATGATGGACGGTGGGATGGAGAATGTCACCATCCCTTCTATCTAATACTGCCGGGGATAATGATTACACTGAATTCAATGATGGACGGTGGGATGGAGAATGTCACCATCCCTTCTATCTAATACTGCCGGGGATAATGATTACACTGAATTCAATGATGGACGGTGGGATGGAGAATGTCACCATCCCTTCTATCTAATACTGCCGGGGATAATGATTACACTGAATTCAATGATGGACGGTGGGATGGAGAATGTCACCACTCATCCCTTCTATCTAATACTGCCGGGGATAATGATTACACTGAATTCAATGATGGACGGTGGGATGGAGAATGTCACCATCCCTTCTATCTAATACTGCCGGGGATAATGATTACACTGAATTCAATGATGGACGGTGGGATGGAGAATGTCACCAGCCCTTCTATCTAATACCGCCTGGAATAATGATTACACTGAATTCAATGATGGACGGTGGGATGGAGAATGTCACCATCCCTTCTATCTAATACTGCCGGGGATAATGATTACACTGAATTCAATGATGGACGGTGGGATGGAGAATGTCACCATCCCTTCTATCTAATACTGCCGGGGATAATGATTACACTGAATTCAATGATGGACGGTGGGATGTAGAAGTGTCACCACTCCTCACTTCTATCTAATACCGCCGGGGATAATGATTACACTGAATTCAATGGTGGACGGTGGGATGGAGAATGTCACCACTCCATCTATCTAATACTGCCGGGGATAATGATTACACTGAATTCAATGATGGACGGTGGGATGGAGGTCACCACTCATCCCTTCTATCTAATACTGCCGGGGATAATGATTACACTGAATTCAATGATGGACGGTGGGATGGAGGTCACCATCCCTTCTATCTAATACTGCCGGGGATAATGATTACACTGAATTCAATGATGGACGGTGGGATGGAGAATGTCACCACTCATCCCTTCTATCTAATACTGCCGGGGATAATGATTACACTGAATTCAATGATGGACGGTGGGATGGAGAAGTGTCACCACACCTCCCTTCTATCTAATACTGCCGGGGATAATGATTACACTGAATTCAATGATGGACGGTGGGATGGAGAATGTCACCACTCCTCCCTTCTATCTAATACTGCCGGGGATAATGATAACACCGAATTCAATGATGGACGGTGGGATGGAGAAGTGTCACCACACCTCCCTTCTATCTAATACTGCCGGGGATAATGATAACACCGAATTCAATGATGGACGGTGGGATGGAGAAGTGTCACCACTCATCCCTTCTATCTAATACTGCCGGGGATAATGATTACACTGAATTCAATGATGGACGGTGGGATGGAGAAGTGTCACCACACCTCCCTTCTATCTAATACTGCCGGGGATAATGATTACACTGAATTCAATGATGGACGGTGGGATGGAGAAGTGTCACCACTCATCCCTTCTATCTAATACTGCCGGGGATAATGATTACACTGAATTCAATGATGGACGGTGGGATGGAGAAGTGTCATCACACCTCCCTTCTATCTAATACTGCCGGGGATAATGATTACACTGAATTCAATGATGGACGGTGGGATGGAGAATGTCACCATCCCTTCTATCTAATACTGCCGGGGATAATGATTACACTGAATTCAATGATGGACAGTGGGATGGAGAATGTCACCACACCTCCCTTCTATCTAATACTGCCGGTAATTATGATTACACTGAATTCAATGATGGACGGTGGGATGGAGAATGTCACCATCCCTTCTATCTAATACTGCCGGGGATAATGATTACACTGAATTCAATGATGGACGGTGGGATGGAGGTCACCACTCATCCCTTCTATCTAATACTGCCGGGGATAATGATTACACTGAATTCAATGATGGACGGTGGGATGGAGAATGTCACCACTCCATCTATCTAATACTGCCGGGGATAATGATTACACTGAATTCAATGATGGACGGTGGGATGGAGAAGTGTCATCACACCTCCCTTCTATCTAATACCGCCGGGGATAATGATTTCACTGAATTCAATGATGGACGGTGGGATGGAGGTCACCACTCATCCCTTCTATCTAATACTGCCGGGGATAATGATTACACTGAATTCAATGATGGATACACCATCCCTTCTATCTAATACTGCCGGGGATAATGATAATGAATTCAATGATGGACACTGAATTCAAATTCAATGATGGACGGTGGGATGGAGAAGTGTCACCACACCTCCCTTCTATCTAATACTGCCGGGGATAATGATTACACTGAATTCAATGATGGACGGTGGGATGGAGAATGTCACCATCCCTTCTATCTAATACTGCCGGGGATAATGATTACACTGAATTCAATGATGGACGGTGGGATGGAGAAGTGTCACCACACCTCCCTTCTATCTAATAGTTCCGGGGATAATGATTACACTGAATTCAATGATGGACGGTGGGATGGAGAATGTCACCATCCCTTCTATCTAATACTGCCGGGGATAATGATTACACTGAATTCAATGATGGACGGTGGGATGGAGACCACTCTATCCCTTCTATCTAATACTGCCGGGGATAATGATTACACTGAATTCAATGATGGACCATCCCTGGGATGGAGATTACACTGAATTCAATGTCACCATCCCTTCTATCTAATACTGCCGGGGATAATGATTACACTGAATTCAATGATGGACGGTGGGATGGAGAAGTGTCATCACACCTCCCTTCTATCTAATACCGCCGGGGATAATGATTTCACTGAATTCAATGATGGACGGTGGTATAAGGTCACCATCATCTCTGTTGTCTGGTAACTAAGGTCATGACATCAGGTCTAATATTCATAATGATAACATGAATTCAATGATCGGTGGGATGGAGAAAATACTGGTCATGACATCCCTTCTATCTAATACTGCCGGGGATAATGATTACACTGAATTCAATGTTGTTTTTACAGAGATTTTATTAAAAATTCACTTGTACACCTCTCATACAATAACATTACACCACTCTATAAAAAACCACAATACCCACAAGGATGTCAAGTCACTCAGGTCATGACATCAGGTCTCTGTTGTCTGGTAACTAAGGTCATGACATCAGGTCTGTTGTCTGGTAACTAAGGTCATATGGGCATGACTGTTAACTAAGGTCTTGACATTAGGTCAGTTTTAGTTAAATGATACATCTGGTTACTAAGGTCATGACATCAGGTCAGTTTTGGTTAAAGGACATGACTGGTAACTAAGGTCATGACATTTGGTCTCGTTACTGTCAAGATATGTACTAAAAAATAATGACTGGTTTTTATGAGCTTTCTATCTAGTCGATGAATGTGAAACTGGACATGATTGATTTAAACATCACATGTGAATTGAACTACTATTCAAATAGTATGCCACGATCCAAAACAATATAGAACAGAGTCATATACATAGTAGTTATCATACTACATTCATATTCTATGATACTAAATACAGAAGTCATGGTTGATTTTTTTCACTTTTAAAAGTCCTAAATTATGACACCGGCTACATTAAGGATAACTGAAGAGCCAAATAAAATACAGTGTATGGGACCAGAGAATCAAGGAATGCGTTCTTAAATAGAGGTAACAGATTATGTTACTTCAATATAAAGACATTTGTAATTCTTTTAAGTAAATAGGATTTCTGTGGCACAGATCTTGTAACACAAAGTAACAAGTGAAACATGAACACCATGATAAACAAGTATGACAAGTTCCCAGTGATCGATAACTTGGACACAACCACTGAGAAACAATTTCCTTAATCAAATGGATTGTTATTTGTTACCAAATTATGGCATTTTCAGACTTATTACTTCTGAAGACTCCAAAAGTGGAAAGAAGTGGTGAGATTAAGACTTATATAGTGTAACAACCATTGTCCATAATATACATTTCACAATATGATGATAGTGGCATTACCGGTGTACAATTTCTACTGACACTTGTATAACAGTTAGGATAAGAAATAGGCATATGTAAGAAACAAAGAAGTACTGGCTATATAGAAATAATTTGATAATTAGATATTCATGCTACACACCATGAAGTCAACTGTATGACAACCTAACAGTACAATAGAGCTGACATACAGTTCACACACATACATACATCCTTTTAACCTCTTATCAGTAGGTCACAAAGATGTCTTCTTTTAGTACTTAAATAACTGTATATGATAAATGTGATAAAATTGATGGACAACACATGATATGATAAATCAACTATTTACAGCAATCAAAGTCCTATTTAATGATACAAATGAAGCAGTAGACAAACGCGAAATGTTTGTTTGATAAGTTATCAATTTGAACGAAACGAACCAGCTTCAGACAAAACTTCAATGATAAGGATCAGGTGAGTTGTTGGTTCTCAATATAATGATAACAGAACCGGTTAGGAATGGAACTGTACTAAAACAAATGTCTGGTTATATGATTGATTCTGAAATTCTGAATGAAACATATTTGAGAGGCTTGAATAACACAACTAAATTCTGGAAATATAAAAAAAAGTTTGAATATTTTTTACTTAGTTTATACAGAATATATAGCAAGGACTGGCTGTAGTTTATACAATATTTTTGGAATAATCATCGTTAACCATATTCTATTGACCATCCTTTCACATTAACTTATGGACTAAATCCATAGGTCAACATCAGGGTCATTACAGACAACACATGTTGTTTATTGAGGGTTTGTGAATCTACATTTAAGAGTCCCATGGCTGAAGTGTAAGGATCTATCAATAAACCCATAAAATAAGACTTTGATGCCAGAAATTTTACAAAAACAATGATCAACAATAATGAGAAATATGTTGTGACTAGATAAAACCATACATCAACTACAAGTAGATTGGAAATATTACAGAAATAGTGTCATACTGGAAATATCCAACCCTACTTCATGTCAACACATGTAAGTTGAATACACTCAGCAAGTCAAAAAAAAAAAAAAAAAAAAACAAAAAAGGTAAGCACTTCAAAAATAAAAAAAAACAGATTTTTTTTTGTTGCCTTAAAAAATGTTTGTCTAGTATGCAGATATTTAAGAAAAAAACATGGCAGAATATACTTCAAACACACTATACAAAATGTTGGTAATTGAACTCTGATCAAATTATGAGGTAATACATATTGGTATTGCCAATGTAACATTGTCAGCTTCAATATCCAGATATCAAAATTCATTAGCAAAATCAAAATCAATCAAATTAAACGTATCAATTTTAGTTAGTGATTACACATGAATACATCAACTTTACAGTCCTACAAACCTGTGCTGTACGTTTCTGATTGTACATCATATAGGCAATGTAAAATTTCTATCACAAATTTACACCGGCCAACTTTAATCTTAACATATAAATTCCATTCCATCTGTATGATGAAAAGTTTAATGAACATTATGACTGTAAAGGTGACAGATTCCAGAATACGAATCGCAAAAATATACAACTTGGTAAAAGTTGCACCGAAATACAGCATACTGATCATGTTGTTCATGTGTCAACAAAACGTAAAAATTAACACCATTGTACATACAACACATACAAGCTGATATCAATATACATATGATATAGATTTTCAAATAATCATGAACATCCCTTATCAAAGATATCTACATATGCTAGTCTCATTACATTACAGTAGCTACTCTTTATCTTCAAATGGTGGGTTAATAGTACAACTCCGGTTACGCACCAGGAAATTCTACAAAAGTCTTACTACGGTTTCTGTACACAAGTATTTGTGTACTTGATTCAATGTTTCTAAAAATCCTCGGATTTACTTATTTGCTTTGGCTGCAGTTTTTACTATTTTAAGAATAAGGAAGATAAATCTAGGTTTAGCAAACCTTTGCACTGGTGTTTGTGAGAAGTTACTCCCTAGATCTGGCAACAAACACTGTCATCTACTTCACCTATGTAACCACTCTGTGTAATAAATAACTAATTTCTGTTTGAATATTGATATAACGTTTGGCTTGGGTTACATAAGATCTACATGTGCACAAATATCACACCTCTCTATACACCATTAACAAATACAAGTTGATAACTTGCATAATAATGACTAAGTACTAAGCCTTTAATAGTCTAACATAACAGCAACAATTTACTAGTACGCAACCATATACTCACATCACTGAATTATCATTATACTCTTACATTACATGGACTTTGATACATTTTGCCTCTTGCAACACTCACACTCATGCATTGAAAACATAAATTATTTGTCAGATTACAGTCAAGTATCACAACTTGGTTTACTACTTATATAGGCAGATCAAGAACGTTCAAACAGAAACTTTCAGATTAAACGTCCAAATTTCTTCATCAATTATATTTTAATGAAAAATTTCAAAGGGAGAATAAGGATTTGGATTTTTTTATATAGGGCACGAAGAGACTGTACTTAAACAAAATTAACATTATCAGTGCTCAGCGAGTCACATAATAGGCGACATACACTTTGTATATGGAACCACGACATAGGATATGTGCCATACCTGGAGCCTAATTGAACACACATAAAATGAGTGATTAAACACTATACTATGCCTTACGTACAATACCAATTTGATGAAAATAAGCAATATACAGTTGCTTGTAAGCATGTTAAAATTTCTCACACCAACAATATCATGATTTAGGGAATCTCAAGTAAACAACACTTTCTCCTAGGACAGAAATATCACTCTATATATTTATTGCTTTAGTTTCTCTAGTTAAATGATATATAAATATACGTCCATCATTTCCAGGTCATTGAGCTGACACTAAATATACCACAAGACTGGCCAATCTTTAAATGATCAGAATTATCATTAAACCATTTGACCTAGCTTCACACATCTTATGACACTGGGCACAAAAGTGGATTCCGATATATTCACGACCAGTGCCAGTGAAATGAGTGAGGTGAGGGTAGAGGATGACAAAATTTCACTGTATTGTGACCATTCGAGTGTTGACGTGCTGGTATGTAATAAACTTAATAAATTTAATTACTTTCTTCACTCATTGAGGATGAAAAATATATTGGTTTATCAATATTCCTTACTACCAGTGTCTGTGAGATAAGGGTAGTTATAATGCCGGACTGCTTTTTTTTTTATCATTTCGTTGTTTTTGTTGAGGAATCAAACTTGGTAAGATTCCTAAAGGATCACCAGACTGGAACTGCTTGTAGTACATGTTGCATACAATAATAACCCAACAATAGACAACGAAGGAGTTGCTATCAGATTAAAGACTGATTTCATATCTAGTATGTCTTTTTTTTTCATCAAGGATTCATTAATAGCACATTTTAATCCTGGAAATCCACATGATTCCAAGATCAAATGATGGAAGAAAATACATACGAAAACGGACAGACAAAAAAAACCTCAAAAAAACATGGATTATAATTGTTCAATAAGGTAGCACATATCAAAACATTTCTCGCAAATTTGGGATCAAAAAATTTCTTGGTACAAAGGATGACTGGAATGTTGTTCTTATACATACATATTCAAAATGAAAGTAGAAGATACCTGGTAAGGACATAGAATATACAAATAAATTTTTATGTTTTTACTTAATTTACTTGTAATGATGAGTAGGATTATGGAGTCTGCTTGGATAGGGACAAAGGACCACTGGTTTGATGATGTTCTGTCTTTTAATCACTGGTTTGATAATGTTCTGTCTTTTATTCAAAGAAAAAGTCAGTGAAACCTCCTTGCAATAAGCCTAGGTTATTGAGACCTGAGTAAATACAGAATCTGATGAAAAGCTTCCTTATTTCATGCTTAACATCTAAAAAAACAAATATCACTGTATAAAAAAGCTGATATACTTTACACAGGACTTATTCTTTCTTGGGTGAAACATACTTCTATTATGGTAACAAAATGTTAAAATATGCATTTGTGTTTACAGCACTGAAAGTTTTAACTATCAAGAAAATATCTTGACATTCAGATATTCTAATATATCTGAGCCTGGAATTTCCTAGCTATGTTTGACCTAAATGCACTTTATCAACCAATATTTTTAATTTTTCTGAACTGAAAAATGATGAAAAGAGTATTCGCTATAATCCCCGATATATACACCAGTTTGTTTCCTCGCTGTGGCCTGATGGGATATCACCAAGGTAATGTTTGGCACAACAACTGAAACAACGAGGTCCAACACCTTGCCAGCAGAGATGAACCTCTATGTGGAGTCTGCTACACAAGCAGACCAAGAATATCACAGACAAATGTTACGCCTTCAGTGAAGTCACTCACTGTTGAGAATTAGACTCCTCAGTTGGTTCTGTAATGTAAAGTAAAATACAGTCAGCTTATTTTTTAACAGGTTAACTGTATTTTAGTAACTTCCTCATCTGTTAACTGTATTTAAGTAACTTTCTTACCAGTTAACTGTATTTAAGTAACTTCCTTATCTGATAACTGTATTTAAGTAACTTTCTTATCTGTTAAGTGTATGTAAGTAACTTCCTTATCTGTTCACTGTATGTAAGTAACTTCCTTATCTGTTAAGTGTATGTAAGTAACTTCCTCATCTGTTAACTGTATTTAAGTAACTTTCTTACCAGTTAACTGTATTTAAGTCACTTCCTTATCTGATAACTGTATTTAAGTAACTTTCTTATCTGTTAAGTGTATGTAAGTAACTTCCTTATCTGTTCACTGTATGTAAGTAACTTCCTTATCTGTTCACTGTATGTAAGTAACTTTCTTATCTGTTAAGTGTATGTAAGTAACTTTCTTATCTGTTAAGTGTATGTAAGTAACTTCCTTATCTGTTCACTGTATGTAAGTAACTTCCTTATCTGTTCACTGTATGTAAGTAACTTCCTTATCTGTTCACTGTATGTAAGTAACTTCCTTATCTGTTCACTGTATGTAAGTAACTTCCTTATCTGTTAAGTGTATGTAAGTAACTTCCTTATCTGTTAAGTGTATGTAAGTAACTTCCTTATCTGTTAACTGTATGTAAGTAACTTCCTTATCTGTTCACTGTATGTAAGTAACTTCCTTATCTGTTCACTGTATGTAAGTAACTTTCTTATCTGTTAAGTGTATGTAAGTAACTTCCTTATCTGTTAAGTGTATGTAAGTAACTTCCTTATCTGTTAAGTGTATGTAAGTAACTTCCTTATCTGTTAAGTGTATGTAAGTAACTTCCTTATCTGATAACTGTATGTAAGTAACTTCCTTATCTGTTAAGTGTATGTAAGTAACTTCCTTATCTGTTCACTGTATGTAAGTAACTTCCTTATCTGTTAAGTGTATGTAAGTAACTTCCTTATCTGTTAAGTGTATGTAAGTAACTTTCTTCTTTGTATTCATTAAGTATCTCATAGATCTTGCCATTCGGAAATTTTAAAAGGAAATCAAATACATTTTCATGTGGCAAAGGATGTTGTAATACTCCCAAACTCTCCCACAGGATTTATATTGGTAAAGCCCTTTTTTCAATAGCAAGATTACTTCTCTTCAAATATCCTACAGAGTCAATGAACTGTGTCGAACACTGGATTATCAATGATCACATCTAAGCTAAATTGCAATCTTACGTGGTGCCTCCATCTCAGTATAACCAAAGGCTGCAATCATTTCATCAAGACTGTAGAGTCCATCATTATCAATATCATAAGGTTTGAGCAGTTCCTCAGAAGGAACCTCTGGCATGAATCCATCCATATCTTGCCTTGATACTAGCTCATTACCATCTTTGTCCCAGCGACTGAAGCTTGTCTTCAGATCTACAACAACAATATTAATGTATGTGGGTAGAATGTATAGCTGAAAAATACAGGAGGAGGTAATTCAAAATATGAGTGTAAACATTCTTAACAAAATGATATCTTCAGATAAAATCAGACCTCATTCCATAGTACCTTGTCCACTGGGAGGAGCAACATACTGGGTGTACCCATGTCATGTCACAGTGACATCCATTTTGAAAAAAATATATATATATATAAATTAGGCATGAAAGTGTTTATTAACTATTATCTTAAATAAGTTTGACAAGGATTGGCTCAAGAAAGCTCAACATATGCTATAGAACAGAAACAAAAAATGGTGACAGAAATGGTTTATTATAGTAACACTTTCCAACTTCCCGGTGGTAGGGATAATAATGATTCATAAATATTAACATAGAGTGCTGCTAGTAGGAATGTAATTTCAATTCTGAGTAGAGAACTCTTTAATGTCTGAAAATTTGTGTCAAATAGTACAAAAGTTGTTCCCTAAACAACATGGAACTGATCTCAAGTCTGTCGTGCAGTATGAAACATAAACTGACAGAACAAGTGTTCAATCCAGTTCTGGCACCGAGAGGGAAGCTGGGCCCCAAAATGGGGGCCAAATGGAAAGAAAGGGGGCTGCTAATTTTTTTTTTTTTTTTTTTTAAAACATCAATAATAAGATAATTTGTGCAGCAGGCAGTATATGGTTTATTTGAGTGATTCGGTCAGGGTAACTGTTCCATCAGGAAATCTTTTAAGAATGACAATAGGTTCAGTGTTGTTATCTGTTTCAAAATGTAATCCAGGCCTGTGCAGGGTGCAGCTGAGGAATCAATTTAACAAAACAGAAATTTGTTTGTAACTCAGATCACATACATGATATATGAGGGAATGAAGACATACATTATTACAGCACGGGTTGATATAGATTAACTTTTCACATTGATTATTTTAATACAATATATGTGTGTTTCAGAAAATCGTAAGTACATGACAGGTGCTTCATAAAGATGTTAACAGTCAAAATGCTTGTCAAACAGTCTTTTATGGTATGGGCTAGAATAATGATTATGTAATGGACTTCCCAAAAACTACAGCAAGAAATGTTGTCAATTGTTTGTCATTGACAAAGACAGACTTGTTGTCTGAAACTTTGCAAGCATTGTACTTAAAGGTTGTCACTGATGGGGGATCCCCGTCACGTACTCTGATCAACTGTTGAAAAAACTTCAAATCAAACTGATTTGTATTGTGGGAATGATATTCATTATGCACAGAGATAAAGAGGCCTCTGGATATCTTTCTGATATCTATATTTAGTGTGCTGAAGTAGGCTAAATCATTAATTGCTGTGATTAATGGTGAGGACAGCAGTCAGGCCTAATATCTAACTGATATGATTAGCATTAAAATGTTTAACAACATCAAAAATGACAATCCTTACGCACAATACCAGCCCAGCAGTATGTTAAAATAGAACCGTTTGAATACCAAATGGGCAATTGGCACAATCTCAATTTAACATCAGTAATTTTTCTGTGGAATCTTACCTGATAAACTGTTGATACCTGGAATCTTCACCACAGGAAAGTGTGGTGGAGGTGGTGGTGGGGGCGGAATGCCTGAATGGTCTTCTTCTGAAACATAATTGTATCCATAACATTCAGAAGCATGTTCAATTTTCTCCTAAATTCTCACAAGTACACTTTATATGACACTCATTTTTCATGGGCCTGTATTGCTTGTCTACCCAGGAATGGTGTTGACAGACAAATTACACCCACTTTCAAATTAGATCAAGTTCAACCAGGGGTTCAAAGTCACTGTATCTCTCACCTGAGTGTTTCAAAGATTTCTTAATGAAATCAATTCTTTTTCAAGTTCCATACCCCAACATTCTGAGGGACATACTTCTTTAACAGTAAATAATATTCTATTTGGTTGTCTCCTGATAATTCTTAGCACATTTTTCGGACATTAATTGTGGAAAACTACACTCTTCCTTTACATAGTAATGATCCTACAAAGACCACAAAGCATTCTTACTTCAAAAGAAATATGGCTGTAATTACAATAGAGATTCAGATCATCTGACAGGTCATCTTGATCTATGCTTTAAAAAACCAACCATGTACATAACAGTGACACTATCCAAGAAAAATTGTTGTCCTTCAAAGCAGTCCCAGTACTGACATTTATAATATATTCATACTTGTCCTGTTGGTGATAAATGCAATAGGACTGATTTTAATGCTTTACAGTATTAAGTCAGCCTGTAGCAAAGATCATTGTTAGGTTTATAAGGAGTAACAACAGTATAAGGTTTGTAAGGAAAAATGACAGTTAGGTTTATCAGGAGTGATGGCATAATTAGGGATATTAGGAGACATGGCATGACATTCTTAGGTTTTTAAGGAGACATGACATGGTTAGGTTTTTAAGGAGACATGACATTGTTAGGTTTATAAGGAGACATGACATGGTTAGGTTTATAAGGAGACATGACATTGTTAGGTTTATAAGGAGACATGACATGGTTAGGTTTATAAGGAGACATGACATGGTTAGGTTTATAAGGAGACATGACATGGTTAGGTTTATAAGGAGACATGACATTGTTAGGTTTATAAGGAGACATGACATGGTTAGGTTTATAAGGAGACATGACATGGTTAGGTTTATAAGGAGACATGACATTGTTAGGTTTATAAGGAGACATGACATGGTTAGGTTTATAAGGAGACATGACATTGTTAGGTTTATAAGGAGACATGACATGGTTAGGTTTATAAGGAGACATGACATTGTTAGATTTATAAGGAGACATGACATGGTTAGGTTTTTAAGGAGACATGACATTGTTAGGTTTATAAGGAGACATGACATTGTTAGATTTATAAGGAGACATGACATGGTTAGGTTTATAAGGAGACATGACATTGTTAGGTTTATAAGGAGACATGACATTGTTAGGTTTATAAGGAGACATGACATTGTTGGTTTATAAGGAGACATGACATTGTTAGGTTTATAAGGAGACATGACATTGTTAGGTTTATAAGGAGACATGACATTGTTAGGTTTATAAGGAGACATGACATTGTTGGTTTATAAGGAGACATGACATTGTTAGGTTTATAAGGAGACATGATATTGTTAGGTTTATAAGGAGACATGACATGGTTAGGTTTATAAGGAGACATGACATTGTTAGGTTTATAAGGAGACATGACAGTGTTTGATTTAAGATATCATAAGCTATGATAGTGTTAGCAACAGTTTTTTTTAGTAATTGCCTGAATATGATCATTTAAAATCTGTACCTTGTATCAAAGTTGACTTTGATGTTGATGTAGGGGAGACAACTATGTCATTTTTAAGAGAAGTCATTTGGTCAGGTGTACTTGTGACATGTGGTTGGTTTTCCACTGTGGCAGGCTGCTGTGGGGACTCGGTTTTATTAGGGACAAGGTTGGTTACTTTACTCTCATCAGTATCCAAGGGTTCTGTAGATGCTGCTGAATACCAATGACATCCACATGCAGGTACAGCTCATGCATTTTGTTAAACGAACATTAAGCAAACAAAAGTCAAGCGGAGTCGTACAAAGACTAGTGGGACTTGTTTCTTCTTCAGTAATAAACAGCAGGATAACAGAAACTTAACGAAGTAGCACAACAAATACTTCAGACATGCATATATATTAAAGAACCCTGCATAACATGTATATTTACAGGTATATAAGGAATAGTAATAATAGATGTATTGTTAAGAAAACCATTGTGGTAGAACACACAAAAACACCATAGGGGTTATATGACACATAAACACACCATAGGGGTTGTATAACACATAAACACACCATAGGGGTTGTACAACACACAAACACAGCATAGGGGTTATACAACACACAAACACACCATAGGGGTTTTACAACACACAAATACACCAAAGGGGTTGTATAACACAAAAATACACCATAGGGGTTGTACAACACACAAACACACCATAGGGGTTGTACAGCACACAAACACACCATAGGGATTGCACAGCACACAAACACACCATAGGGGTTGTACAACACACAAACACACTATAGGGGTTGCACAACATACAAACACACTTTAGGAGTTGTATAACACACAAACACACTATAGGGGTTGTACAACACACAAACACACTATAGGGGTTGTACAACACACAAACACACTATAGGGGTTGTACAACACACAAACACACTATAGGAGTTGTATAACACACAAACACACTATAGGGGTTGTACAACACACAAACACACTATAGGGGTTGCACAACACACAAACACACTATAGGAGTAGTAAGAAAAAACAAAGGCACACTAGAGAGTAAGTATAACACACAAATACACCAAAGGGATAGTTCACACACAAACAACGGATGATAAGTACAACAGTTTTTGAGATTTGTTACAAATCTTTCCCCTGACCCAAACCTTAATCATTCATTTCAGGAACAGTTCTAATACCAACAACTAACAGTTTTGCAAATCACTGTACAACAGACGTGACGCCAATGAAAGTAACAAAAAAGCAGAATGGTACATGTCTCACTAGAGAGCCCGCTAACAATAAAGAACAAACATCTGAATGTCTGAATGAAGAAAAGATAAATATCATCCTAAATTAAACAGAAAAAAGCACCATAGAGAGAATAATTTTTTCTGAATATAAAACACTAGACAATCAGGTGATTCCTACCAGAAATCTGGTTAAGTTTCTTCTCCATCCCTCCCAAGTAGTTCTTCAGGCCCTCCACAGTAGCCATGACTTTCACTTGATTAGAGTACATGGTCAGGTAGTGTTTGGACACGGCACCAAAATCATGTAATAAACCTTGAACAGTCTTGTTGAGATCCTGTAATGTGTGAACAAAAGATACATGTAAGTGATATTTTTCTAGTACCAACAGAAGATTCAAGGATTTAAGCAATATAATTTGAATTTGATAAATGTATCATGATGCCCTGTATCAATATTTGATATTGTATGTGTCCGTGTACAGACAATTTATATCAATAGGTTTTAAACCTTAAATAATACTGGTCAGTACATCAAAACATATCCAAATGTGTGTTGGTGTCCTGTCTCAGGGCACTCTGATGTCTGTGTTGGTGTACTGTCTCGGGTCACTTTGATGTCTATGTTGGTGTCCTGTCTCGGGTCACTCTGATGTCTGTGTTGGTGTCCTGTCTCGGGTCACTCTTATGTCTGTGTGTTAATGTCCTGTCTCAGGTCACTCTGATGTCTGTGTGTTAATGTCCTGTCTCAGGTCACTCTGATGTCTGTGTGTGACTGTCCTGTCTCAGGTCACTCTGATGTCTGTGTGTTAATGTCCTGTCTCAGGTCACTCTGATGTCTGTGTGTTAATGTCCTGTCTCGGGTCACTCTGATGTCTGTGTGTTAGTGTCCTTTCTCGGGTCACTCTGATGTCTGTGTGTTAATGTCCTGTCTCGGGTCTCTCTGATGTCTGTGTGTTAGTGTCCTGTCTCAGGTCACTCTGATGTCTGTGTGTTAATGTCCTGTCTCAGGTCACTCTGATGTCTGTGTGTTAGTGTCCTGTCTCGGGTAACTCTGATGTCTGTGTGTTGGTGTCCTGTCTCAGGTCACTAACCAGTATCTTGGAGTCCTGTCTCAGGTCACTAACCAGTATCTATGTGTCCTGTCTCAGGTCACTAACCAGTATCTTGGTGTCCTGTCTTTGGTCAATCAATTTGTGTGTTAGTTTCCTGTCTTTGGTCATTCAACTGTATCTGTTTGTTAGTTTTCTGTCTTTGGTCACTCACCTGTATCTGTGTATTCACATCCTGTTTTAGTTCATTCATTTGGTCTGCCTGTTCAACATCGGTCTCATCTGACTTTCCTAGAGACACATGATCTTTCTGCACCTAACAACACAGAAGATAGATATATATAAAATTGCTCCTTATATGGCAACAAAAAAAGGAAATCAGACACAAATTTTAAATGCATTCTTTATTGTTTATACACAGAATTATAGATGAATTTTTTTGCTTGAGAACAAAGTATCTGGGTAAGGTAATAATGTCCTGGAACCTTGGGCTAAACGTCACAACAGCTTTATACAGTATAGTGCATTTAATTGTGATCTCTGTTTAGTTTATTGATGTTCTATTGTATATTGACACTACCTTATTAAACTGGTCTCTCAATGTCTGTACAATGGCTGTGACATTGTCCATTTTTGTGAGTAGCGAGTCCAATGCTTTAGAATCTGCTTCAGTTCTGTTCATCAGATCCATATCCAATACCTATTAAGAAATACCATTGGGTATTAATTCCAAATAAGAAAATATGAGAATCCAAGTCTAACAATCAATCACTGTAAAAATTTACTGACGCCAACTAAAGAAAAAAACTATCGCTCTGTATTTTAAAATAAAAAATTTCATTTTCAACAAATTGATGACAATTTCATCACATATTATATAACCTCAAAAACTCAAGAGGAGTTATTTAAATACCACTTCAAAGTTAATACTCAAAGCCTGTTCTGAAACAGAGAATCATTGTATATGTTTTAAACAATAATGTCTAAATCTAATTGCTGAAATTGTAGAGTGAACAACAGTTGTTATGTAAACCACTGCAGTTATAAGTGGAGTACTAGGGGAAAAGGAATATAGTTCCATATCTGATTTTGCGATATGGTGAAAAATTCAAATTCCTCTCCAAAAAAAAATTATCTACATCTGAAGTCCCTGGAAAACATTTACAACACATACACCATCATGTGTACAAATCTTGAAGAGAATACTACACATACCATCTGATGGACAATATCATTGACTTCAGCTTCCATTGCATCTGTTAACTCTGCAGTCATGTGTTCACCATCGCCCCCTTCTCTGCCCCCTGGGGGTGAAGTGGATCCACTAAGAGCCAAATCAGTATCACTTGTCTTCTGCATCTTCATCTTAAGGAAATTGGTAGCATTCTCAATATATTTGGCCTGAAAGAAAACATTCAGTAATTCTGATTGTATAAAAGGAAACTGGAAAACAATATTTGTGTTTAAATCTATTTATGAAGATACTTTTTTCAATAGCTAGTACATTTTATATCCATTACAACAGACTGGAAACTGAAATACATAATTTCACCTGGATGTGTAATAAATGCAAAAAACAAATAAGTATTAATGTAATAGTGCAAATTTTATGTTAATGACCATCTGTTCTTTAAGGAGCGCCATTCTGTTAACACTTAACAAGGAAATGTACCACTGATCTCCATTATGTCTTGGGCTTTAAAACTCAGACACTTTTTTATTTCTTTCTTCCTTTTATCATTTTGTTTCACTTGAATTGATTTCTTTTTGGCTCGAGTCCAGTGAACTTTAATACGAGATTAGTGAATACCAAAATCGTACACATATCAGACAAATACACCCCAAAACATGATGTGGAATATCAACAAAAGTGATATTGAAAAGTAGTCATTAAATAGAAGTAACATTAATTGACAGGGTGCCACAATCTTTTCCTCAGAGCATTTCGCCATGACCCCAATATTAGGACACTTTCAAAGATATATTATCATTTCTAAGAAACATTTTAAATACACTTATATGTAAATGCTTACTAATGGTTGGCTTGTAAATATAATGACAAGAATAACAGAAAATTAGCACCAATGTCTTTTTGAATCTGTAATGTACCTGTCTCTGTGAAAAATCCTGCTGCCAAATGTCTATCTTGCTCCACAAGGAACTGTTTACAGCTGCCAATGTCTGGGTCATAGCATTAAATTTCTGCAAAAGAAACACAAACCTGTCTACAAAGCATTTAAACCTGTCTGCAGAAATACATCTAGTCCTGTCTAGATACACAGTACAATCTGTCAACTAAGACAAACTTATGATGTAAAATTGAACAGTATTTGGTTGAATACCAGCAACTTTTCTGAGGGTGGTAAATTTCTCGCTGGTATATTGTTGGTCCTCTTTATGGGTTATAATATACCATTCAAGTCTTAATCCCCCAGAAACATTGTTACAGGCCACTGTGGGCTGTCTACAGAGACAAATATGGTAATGTATGGAGACAGTAAAACCTGTCTACAGAACCAAAATAAAATTTGTCTACAAAGTATGATAACATGTCTAAAGAGACATACCCAGTCCTGTCTACAGATCCAGAAAAACTGTTCACAGAGACATACTTTTCTTGTCTACAGACACATTATTATCTCCAGACACAATCAGTCCTGTCTTGTGGCAAATTCAAACCAGATTATCAAGCATTGCTTCCTGTCTACATAGACACACCAAGCCCTGTCTACAGACAGTGAAATCTGCATACATAGACCTAGTAAAATCTGCCTACAGACACAGAATTCTGTGTACAGAGACATAGTTCTGTCTAAGAGTCTACAGACATAGTTCTGTCTACAGAGACTACAAAGACATTGTTCTGTCTTCAAATATTTATAAAACATGTCTACAGACACATGGTAACACTTGGCATATCTAACTCTTTAAGATTAATTCCTGCAACAAATTCACAATTACCTATTTTTATATTGCACTTTCAGACCATTGCAGTATCATTGATATATGTTTGTATAAAAAATACTACTTATTGTTGCTTGAAGGTATAAGGTATTATTTGTCCACTTGTTACAAGTATTCTTACATCCAGTGTATCTTGCTGAAAATTCATATTCATGCTTGAAGAATCCCCTGATGAAGTGGTTGGTGTACTAGTCTGAAAAATAAAAAACAAAAATGGTATAAGACTTTAATCATGTATTCTGAAAATGGTAAGCAATGAAACTACCCTAATATCTAAAACTACAAAATATTTCGATAAAGTACACTTAAAACAGATGAAATTCAAGAGAAAATTATTACAAGGTATTTCATAGTAATGATCTATCCAAAAATATTTATATTTGCCTATACTATTTCAAAATCAAGCTACCTACCTTATCCATCAAAGCATCCAGCTCAGTCTCTGTTTTTTTCTTAAAATCTAACAGTTCATCAATTGTTGTTTGCATTGATTTGACACTCACTCCCAGCTTTGCTGCAGTCTGTAAGAAAAAATTCTTAAATTCAATGCTGTTTTAACTTACTTCTTATATCTGGTTTACAATTACACATTTCTTTTCTACATTTGTCAAATATTTACATAATATTGAAACAGCCTTTCTTTTCTGTACAATGGACTGATATGCAAATTAATAAGGGAAAATTGATGAGCTATTTATAATTGTGGTTGATATATGTCTTTGTTAAACAGTAATAGACTACTTAATTGCTTTCTCTTTGTGAAATTCTACTATGAAATACAATTGGTATTTAAAGAAAGTAAATTGCTTACAGATACTACCACAGGAACTTTGGCTGCTATCTGCTTTATTTCTGGAGCTGCTTTCAATCCATCTTGTAAGGATTCAGTAGTCATGGACAACTGGTGGATCTGAAAACAGTACAACAGACAAACTATACTGTACATGTCTGCAGTAAGTGAGATGTAACCGTGTAACATTATTATCATGAAAAGGATAGGAGCCTGGTAGCATATTTAAGAATAGCAATTCCGGCTTCATGATGCATGAACTTTTTCATTTCAATATTGCAAAGTTTAAAAAATTTCAACATAACAAAAAGTATATACAATGTTCTATGCTACAATTGTCAACTATGAAATATTTTTCTACTGTTTATCTGGCAATAAGTCCATACCTGGTAATAAGCCCACCTATATACTGCTGTTCAGTAAAATTACAAACATTGATTGTCCTGAAATAAGACCATCCAATCAGAATTTGTAGGTTGGCTTCCTGGGTTAGCCTTGTATTACACTATATTCAAACATATTACATACAGTGTGATCAAACAGAAGGAGATGAGGGTACCTTATACGTAATGTTAGTCAGTGTCTGTTTCATGCGCTCTGTTTGCACATCACCGCCAGCCTTGATCCCTTGGATTGTTTGGTTGACAGTCTGAACTTTGTTTCGTAAATCTTGATAATCTCCCAAACCATTCTGGTTTCTTGATTCCACTAAAATTTACAACAATTTAGAATGTAAAAATAATACACAAATGTAACATTGCTTTAATATAGTTATTGTTAATATATAACAGTATCTTGTCAGTTATCATTTGCAAAACTCAGTGGCCACAACATTACTCACAAAATTGCATCAATGTTACCATCATGTTAAAGCCATATGCGAGAATGTATACCATCCCCATAAAATAAATACAGGTAAAATGAGCATACGCTATGTTTAAATGTTCAATAATATATTATTGGTTAGTTAGGAACATGTCAGTTGCGGGTGATGTTAATGCTGGTTCCAAGATCAATGGCCAGGTGTGAAATGACCATTTTAGATGTTTGATCAATCACACCGATGTATGATCAGTGTGTAGTAATAAATACAGCTCTGTGTGACATCAGTTTATGTCAAACTAGAAGATAACTATAAAACGTACAAGATACAGAAGACTGTGTATATATTAATGAACAGTAATAAAAAAGCTGAATAACATGCTTACTTGCATAACAAATAATCTTTAATAGTCACTATTTTTTTTTTTTAAATAATTGACATGTCTAGATCAAATTTCGTGATGAAAAGTTATTTTTTTTTAGAAGCTGAAAAATAATACCATATGTTTCAATCACTTTCAGATTGATATATTAAGATTTTTTTTCTATATCAATGGCATTGAAAAGACAGAGTAATTTTCACTTTCAAGCTTAATTTCATAATAATTTAATTTGTATCATTATTTCGAAAAAGAGCTTCATTGATTGTCAAAATGGCTCTGGTCAAGGAGGTCAGTGCTTAGTCAACAATAAAAACAGGCTAAAAGTGAATGGGGCACTACAGGATTAGATAACACTGTGAAAAGAATCTTCAATGACTTCACGGCTCATGAGTGAACAAACACAATATTTAACACCACATATGCTGCTACTTTTCAATGTTTCCTGACCCTACATCATACTTTTCTGCATTAACAGACCATTTCCAGGATGATAACTCAACTAAAACATACATGTCTTATACAATACTGTTTTGTTCTATTTGTACTATAAACTAGGCATCTGATTCACAATATACTTTGAGTAATGTGATATAATATACCTGAGGAGATTTTGTCTCTCATTTCATCAAGGTCTTGTTTCATTTGAAAGTGCATCCATAACAGAGCCACACATGCTAAAAGGCAAGTGCCAACCAGGAAGATGCCGAAAACTGTTACGCATGAGCATCCTGCTGAACCATGTCCTTTACTGTTAAAAGCAGTTGGAAATTGGAAATTGGAAATTCAAAAAGGCATAGGCCTACAGTGATCATCAGAATATATCTGAACCATCAGTAAGATTTCTTTTAAAACTGATTGAGAAGAGTTATTTCTTATTTCATATTTTTTCAAATATATATTAACACGTGTGTGGTATTGTAGTAGTGTTGTCCATTAAAGAATTCAATACCAATAAACGATATTTGTATTATTTCACGCGATTTATCCGTCCTTTAAACTTTATGATATATAACGTGTTTGAAGTTCACATTGGTCATGTTAGTAACCTATATATCGAGCTACCGTACAGAAAACAAACATTGCATTACGTAGAAACAGGTGACACTACGATAAACAGATAAATCGTCGACATACTTGACTGCGCCAAAATGATGTCTATTGTATTTCAAGAGAAACGACTGAAAAAAGTCGACTTAGTCTTAACTTGTAAGTTTACAACACTTTAATAACAAAATTACCGCAACTTACTTCCGCATGAAAGATTTTTGAGCCGAAAGACTGAATTCGTCTATCTCGGACGATTCGCTGTCAGAACGCAGGAGCTCATGACCGCTTTTAGATTTCCGCCGTGTTTTGCCGTTGCCAACAAGAGCATCGAGTTCCCGACGCTTTTTCATCCTTTTGGATGGTTTGAATTCAACATTAATTTTACTTTGTTGATCCAGCATTGGCGGATCAATAAGAAAAATCCCCCTTACTGCTGTTTCTGAAGTGTCAGTTTCTCGTCCCGAACCGGAAGTGACAAGTTGTAAACCCACGCTTACGGAAAATAGATAATACTGGCTCCTGATTGGACGTATTATAATTTTTCTGCCGCAAAAATTTGCATGAATGATTAGCCACGTGTGAAAAAAACAGTCTAAACATTTCTTACGAGTAGATATTGTCACGAAAATATGAGCTTGCGGTCTCTAGAATTTGTGCTTTTTTTTTACATCATGTTATGGTTTCATTGCATATCCCCAATGCTTTATATTTTATGGGAGCTATTAGAATTTGTGCTTTTTTTTTACATCATGTTATGGTTTCATTGCATATCCCCAATGCTTTATATTTTATGGGAGCTACTAAACGGGATTTTTTTTCAGGTAATCAAGGACAAATGGGGAAAAAATGTCTACTGGAAATGAGCAGCTGATTGCTTTTGTGTTTGTTCACTGAGCCAAGAAGTCATCAAAGCTTTCTTTCTCACAGTCTTATCTACCAGGTGTACAATTCAGTATTCATCTGTAATCAACTTCACACCAATCAGTCTGACCAAAATCACTTCGTCCAGTGAGAATTTAGTCATTTTAATTTTATAACAAAAATATTACCATGCAGTAAATTATAGGTTTTGTCAAGAATAAAAATGTTTATATATATGGTTTCTGAGCCTTATTTGACGCAGCAACATTTTCATCATGTTTTAGACAGAATGAAGTAAAATATATGTGTGCTCATTTACATAATAATACAAGCTGACAAAGATTAAGTACATTAAAAAATAACTACTTGTTGAATAGACCCGAGAAGCTCCTTGCCAAAGGTCACAAGAAAATTGTTTTACTGTCATTTAAGTAAATATTTTCGATTGGAATGTTAGTAAGCTTTCTACTACTTTTCATTCTTAATTTTTTTGTTGTTGGTTAACTTTTGTAGAAAAGTGGTATAAAACACAACAAGGCTAGTAATTTTAGTATACAGTTTTTTGTGCTTTTACCGATTACTTTAAGATAGGAAACAAGCACATTGAACATTGCTAAAGTAATACATGTCCCCTACCTGCCCTATACAAGCTATGACACTCTAATGATTATAAAGATGTTTGCTGTTAATTGGGAGAAATAGAAAATTGTTCAATGAATTTGTGACTGAATTTAATGAAACAATGCAATACATAAGTTTGACAATCTGACCATAGTTTCATCACCTATGTGTAGTTATTGTCATTTCTTAGTGTGTGAGGTTTGATAAAAATGCTGTAAGGAATCAAGATACCAATTCTCTTTGTTCTAGTAATAATGACTGATCTTTGCACAACCCTGAAACTCGAACTTAAAAAAGACATTTAAATGCTTTACAAGTGTGTGAATTCGCCAGGGTGCTGACAATGATTTTCTGAAAACGGTGCCTCAGAATGTGACCTTGATTCAACAACCTTGATACTTGGTTTGTCCAAGAAAATGTGGTTATTTGCAAGTGTAGTTTGATCAAAATCCAAATAGGAATGAAACTGCTATAAAAATAAATATCCAGCATAGTTACAGCGACCTTGACCCCTTTATGAATGTGTGAAGCTTGATAATTATAAGAAGTTCTCAAGGAATAAAGCAGTTAGAGCAGAGGCAAACTTTGACAGACACATGGGTTGCCAACTTTCTTCACCATTTGGCTCAGATATCAATTTATTTCCAGGGAAACTTGACAGGGGGTAGGGATTCAAGCAGAGGGTGAGAGCCTTGACATAAAAAAAGGGTCCAGACCAAAGACAGAGAGAGTGGGTCCAGACAGTATCTAGGAAGTCTAGAAAGAGGGTAATTAGACAAGACAGAGGAAAGAGAGTCCAGACAGAGGGCAATTAGTTCAGACACTGGCAAGAAAGTCAAAACAGGAGATAGGGTATCTAGAAAGATGGTAGAAGTCCAGACAGCTGACAGGGGGTCCAGACAGAGGGTTGAGGGTCCAGTGGAAAGAGAGTCCAGATAGATGGTAGGGTGTCAAGACAGACAATAAAGATCCCAAACATAGGAAAAAGTCCAAACAGAGGGTAATTAGTCCAGAGAGAGGGTAGGGGTCCAAACAGGCTTAGAGAGTTCAGGTAGAGGATAGGAGTCCAGACAGAGGGTAATTAGTCCAGACAGAAGAAATTGAGGTTAGACAGAGGAAAGGGAGTACAAACAGAGGGTAGGGGTCAAGACTGGAAATGGAGTAAAAACTGACAGTAGGGAGTCCAGACAAAGGGTTATTAGTCTAGATAGAGGAAATAGGGTTCAGACAGTGGGTAATTAGTCTAGACAGAGGATATGGAGACAGGGAATAAGGAGTTAAGACAGAGTAAACGGTTCAAAACAGAATAGTAACCAAAAAAAGAGATAGGGGGTCCAAAGAGAGGGTAATTTGTCCAAACAGAGTATAGGGAGTCTAGACAGAGGGTAAACATAGGCAATCTTGACAGTGGACAGAGAGTCTATACCGGGTAAGGAGTCCAGATAAAGGGCAGTGAAAACATAGTCCGGAAAGAAGACAGGGAGCCTGTTCAGGCCTGTTCTACCTGTAGGTACTCTTGTCGGATGACAGGGAGTTCAGACATGTGGTAAATAGTCCAGAGAGTGGGTAGAGGTCCAGATAAATGTTAGGGAGTCTATACAGAGAATAGGGAGTCCAGATAGAGGATAGGGAGTGTAAACAAAGTATAGGGGTCCAGACAGAGGTTAGAGAGTCCTGTAACAGAGAATAGGGAGTCCAGATAGAGGATAGGGAGTGTAAACAAAGTATAAGGGTCCAGACAGAGGCTAGAGAGTCCTGTAACAGAGAATAGGGAGTCCAGATAGAGGATACGAAGTGTAAACAAAGCGTAGGGTCCAGACAGAGGCTAGAGAGTCCTGTAACAGAGAATAGGGAGTCCAGATAGAGGATAGGAAGTCCAGTAACAGAGAATTGGAAGTCCAGATAGAGGATACAGAGTGTAAACAAAGTACAGGGGTCCAGACAGAGGCTAGAGAGTCCTGTAACAGAGAATAGGGAGTCCAGATAAAGGATAGTGAGTGTAAACAAAGTGTAAGGGTCCAGACAGAGGCTCGGGAGTCCTGTAACAGAGAATAGGGAGTCCAGATAGAGGACAGGGAGTGTAAACAAAGTATAGGGGTCCAGACAGAGGTTAGAGAGTCCTGTAACAGAGAATAGGGAGTCCAGATAGAGGATACGGAGTGTAAACAAAGCGTAGGGTCCAGACAGAGGCTAGAGAGTCCTGTAACAGAGAATAGGGAGTCCAGATAGAGGATAGGAAGTCCAGTAACAGAGAATAGGAAGTCAAGATAGAGGATAGGGAGTGTAAACATAGTATAGGGGTCCAGACAGAGGCTAGAGAGTCCTGTAACAGAGAATAGGGAATCCAGATAGAGGATAGGGAGCCTAAACAATGTATATGGGGTCTAGACAGAGGTGAGATAGTCCAGTAACAGAGAATAGGAAGTCCAGATAGAGGATAGGGAGTGTAAACAAAGTGTACGGGTCCAGACAGAGGTGAGATAGTCCAGTAACAGAGAATAGGAAGTCCAGATAGAAGATAGGGAGTGTAAACAAAGTGTACGGGTCCAGACAGAGGTGAGATAGTCCAGTAACAGAGAATAGGAAGTCCAGATAGAGGATAGGGAGTGTAAACAAAGTGTAGGGGTCCAGACAGAGGCTAGAGAGTCCTGTATAAAGAGTCCAGATAGAGGATAGGGAGTCTTAGACAGCTGTTAGGGAATCCAGACAAAGGGACGTTATATATAATTAGTCCAGACAGGCAACAGGCCAGACAGAGCGTAAACATAGAGAATCTTGACATAGGAAGTCTATACAGGGTTAGGAGTCTAAGAGGCCAGGGTCCAGACAGAGGGCATGGAATCTACACAGAGAGTAGGTAGTCTAGACTGATGAAAGGAAGTTCAGACAGAAAGTAATTAGTCCAGAGAGAGGGTAGAGGTCAAGACAGAGGATATGGAGTCAAGACAGAAGGTAAGTGTTTAGACAGAGGATAGGAGTCTAGACTGAGAGCAGGGATAAGCTTGGAAAACTAACTAACAGGAGATTTAAAAACAATAGTACTATATCAGTTTTGTTATGCTTATACTTACTCTAATTGAGATTTAATAGTAAAAATGTTTCATGCTGTAATACTTACGTTCAAGGAGTTTTTGTTTGAGTTCTGCCACCTGTCCAGAGAGGGAAAAGGATATGACCATGAGAACAGACACAGCACAGATGAGTAACAACACAAAAAACATCTTTAGGAAAGTCGAGAAGCTACACAGGCTCGTGTCCGAGTCAAAGTTCTTCTTCCTGAAATATATAATTAAATGCTCTTTCAACATCATCCAAATACCAAGTATGGAAAAACACAGAGACAAGATGTAGATAGAATCATAATACAAACCCTAATTCAACAAGAGGCCCAAAGGCCTTAACTGTCACCCGAGTCATAATGCTTCTTGTAATATGTCATGGAAATGATTTTGTAAAACAAGAGATCCCAGAGGGATCTTGGCACCCACCTTTGTTTGATCTTGATATGCTCTTTGAAAGTTAAATTTTTTCCTTTATTTTCTGTTTTTTCTCTTGATGATATGACATTTGAACATTCCTTTGCAGGAATAAATGATAATCTTTACCTGCCAAATCCAAAATGGCCACTTTGAAACAATTTGTTTCTTCTGATCAATCCCAAAATCAAATGAGCACAAGGAGAGATCAAAGGGAACATACGTATGAAATTTCAGAGATATCCATTCAGTACTTCTTAAGAAATATCAATAACAATCTTTACTAGGCAAAATCCAAGATGGCTGCCTGTTGGCCATTTTTTTTTCTGATCAATCCCAAACTCAAATAGGCACAACTAGGGACCTAAAAAAAACCCTTTATATGAAAGTTGAGAATGATTTATACAGTAGTTCTGAAGAAATAGTGATAACAAACTTTCGAATT